TAAGCATGTGGAATGTTTGGAACAGTTTGTGATTGGCTGAATGTTGGAAAAAAATCTTAAAAAGTGGAGGACACTTAGTTGGAAAGACAAGAGGTTAGAGTAAGAGGCAGAAGTCTGTCGAAATTAGAAAGAGTTAGATTTAGGAATACATAACGTGTCTCCCCGTATGAACCATCATTAAGATCGTCCAGAGCCCCTGCTCTCAGTCCCACCTCCTTTACAGGCGCGATTAGTGGGAACGAGAGACAGGGCCTTCTTAGTGGTGGCCCCTCGGCTGTGGAACTCTCTCCCTAGCAACATTAGATCAGCCCCTTCCCTCCTGACCATCAGATGCGAGAGTAAAATGTGGCTTTGGGATCAAACCTTTGGAGAATAATACAGTGCAATGGATGGATTTGGAATTATGTGCAATGACTACAAGAATGGCCTAGGCCCTAGGCTATGATTACGGATAGCATGGTTTATAATAGTAATTGCAATGTTTTAATGTTTTCTAACCTTGATTTTATTTTTTTAATTGAAATGTTTATTTAATTGTATATTGTTTTTAAAGCATTGAATCGTTGCCTATGTTGTAAACCGCCTTGAGTCCTCTTCGGAGTCGAGAAAGGCGGGAATCAAATATAGTAAATAAATAAATAAATAAATAAATAAATAAATAAATAAATAAATAAATGAGATGTGAGTCAGTTAAGCTTGGTAATGTTTAAGAACTATTGGATAAGTAATTTCTGTATGCCACTTCTTTTTAATAAAGTGGTTTTTGTATGCTACGTCTGAGAATAGTACAATAGCACTGCTGGTTGAATTCGGACATATAGAGTCACTATGACAGTGATTCCCAACCTTTTTTTTTTTTACCAGGAACCACTCTCCAATATTAGCACCAAAAGAGTTAAGAATCAGTTTTGGTCAACTTTAGATTTGGTTTGGTTATTTGGGGTGCTGATTCAGAAAATTGCATTGGACAGGTCACATCAGCTCTAGTTTCTGATACAGAATATATGCCATCCAGTAGTAGCCATCTACTCGCCCCCAGAAAATCGTATTTAATAATCTAGAGCTGATGTGGTCTATCCAATGTAATTTTCTGAATCAGCACCCCAAATTACTCCAGGAACAGCCCTAAAAACGAAGACACTAAAGTGCCCCGCTTCCAGGCTCATGGAATGGCTCTGCTGAGGGAAGGGAGGAGGAGGAGAAGCAGTAGTCAGAAGGCTTGTTGTTGTGCCTTTCTTGGGTAGTCAGCCTCTCCCCTCCCAACATCCCCATTGCCTTGGCACTATAAGAGGGTTTCGCGAGACCAGTTGTTCTCGTTGCAACGGTATAGTAACAGTGAGGCCACAGACCATATTTTAGTTGTTGCGGACCATTGGTGCTCCACGAACCACAGATTGGGAACCACTGACATAGAGTCACTAAGAGGACGTAAAGATACCTTGAAAGGTGTTCTCATGTGAGGAAGGGGGTAGCAAAACTTAAATTTGTTATTTATAGTTTTTCCCACTTTCATAGGGGTCTTGAGCCCCAAACACTTGCAAAAGTGGAGGACCTACTGTACAACAGTCTCACAGAGAAATCATGAAAGCATTTAGATCCTTCTTATGTTTGGGACCGGAGCAGTGAGACAATTAGAAGTCCTGGTATTTGAAGGCAGTGGTTGAACAAATGGTGGAATCTCACAGGCTCATCTTGACGTCTCTGTTTCTGTCTCACCCAGCCTACTGCAGTACATTTTCGTGGGGAACATCTTCATGGTTCCTGATGACCCCTTAGGAAGAGAAGGACCCACCTTAATAGAATTCTTGAAGAAAAATCCCAGGTATCCATCAACAGCTGGAAATAATCATCTTACCCTGAGCTTGGTTGAGATTGTCGTGCATAAATTAAAACAAGAAAGAGCCACTAATGAGGAAGTGGGAGACATTACTCCTGCCACGGGTGGGGTGGTTGTTCCAATACAATTGCAAATTGAGATATGTCAATTCTGGTTTTGGAAATCACCCAGTTGATGCCCACAATTTGGTGTGTAAGAGTGGACAAGGGAAGTCAGATAACCACATTTTTGTGGTACTTGGAGTGGTTTTCTTATGGAATTTAGGGTTTTTTTTCAATTAAAAAACTTAAAATTTCACCAATTTTCATGGGCTGCAAAATAGGCCCTTGTGGTCTTGTCTAACCCTGATTGTATGATACCTGTAAGTCACATTTTCTATTTTGAATTAAAATAGCCAAGACATGATATGATGGAAGTACCTCTAAACAAATTGATATAGAAAAGTCCAGAGAGGGGAATCCCTTTAAATGGGAGCCAGCACCAGTTGCCCAAAGTGATAAAAAGAACAAAAACACACAGACCAATGTTATCTCTTCCTTAGGAGGCTTTTCTTCATAGCAAAATAATATGGTTGCACTATTTACAACAAAGTTTCCCTAACATAAATAAAGTCCTCTGTACTTCCTTCTTTGCTTCCACACTGGGCTTCTTTCTCATGCAGATAAACAGCTTCGCTCTCACTGAGCCTCCTCTCACACTGAACTTACACAGGAGCTTCATACAGTAGCTTTACACGTGAGGCCTTCAACCTGAAGCTTCTCTCACCGAAGCTTCTCTCAGACTATAGCCTACCACACACGGTGAGGCCTTCTCACAGATTGAGACCATTCTCCCACTGAGGCAGAGGTCTACTAAGCTACAGGCACACCTGTTTATATAGAACTGCAGCTTTTGCTGAGTTATATCTTATATATGTTATATATATAAGTTATATGTCATATCTAAGGAGCCCCCGATGGTGCAGTGGGTTAAAGCGCTGAGCTGTTGAGCTTGTTGACCGAAAGGTTGCAGGTTCGAATCCGGGGAGCGGCGTGAGCTTCCGCTGTCAGCCCCAGCTTCTGCCAACCTAGCAGTTTTAAAACATGCAAATGTGAGTACATCAATAGGTACCGCTCTGGCGGGAAGGTAATGGCACTCCATGCAGTCATGCTGGCCACATGACCTTGGATATGTCTATGGACAACTCCGGCTCTTCGGCTTAGAAATGGAGATGAGCACCACACCCTAGAGTTGGACAGGACTGGACTTAATGTCAGGGGAAACCTTTACCTTTACTATGTTATATCTACCATAGGTGCCTTTTCTTTGTAGTAAAATAATATGGTTGCACTATTTACAAATACAAGGTTTCCATAACACAAATAAAGTCCTTTATACTTCCTTCTTTGCTTCCATGCTGGGCTTCTTCCTCATGCAGATAAACAGCTTCACTCTCACAGAGCCTTTTCTCACAATGAACTTACTCAGGAGCTTCACACAGTAGTTCTATACACAGCTTTACACACAAGGCCTTCAACCTGGGACTTCTCTCACCGAAGTCTCTCACAGACTAAGGCTTACCTCACACTGTGAGGCTTTCTCACAGTCTGAAACCTTTCTCTCACTGAGGCAAACTAACATAGAGACCTACTAAGTTACAGGCACACCTTCAGGGTTGTATATGGGGGTGGGGAGGTGTTTTGGCATTCAGTTCCCCCCCCCCCCTTTTTTAAGGTTTAAAAAAACCTGGTTTACTCATGAATTTTAACTGGTTAACCAAATCCCCGTGCTAAGTCTGTGAGAAGCAAAAATTAAATTGGTTTAATTAAGCCTATATAAAATATAGAATGAACCATACTATTTAAATTATTTTGTGTTATGGAACTACTCTTCATGATTTGCTAAAAAAAAATTTTTCGACCCCACCCCCCCAGTATAGAACTACAGCTTTTGCTAAGTCATTGCATCTATTTAATCCTTTTCATGCTTGACTCACATTTTTGTAATTAAAAATACCTAGTTAATTTTTAATATTTTTGACAATCTTGCCATAAACATTGGCACTGCTCCATCATTTGGCCAGCAGTGAAGGGTGCATGGATTTTGAGAAGAAAAACTACGAATCATTGAGACATCACACTAGTTCTTACAAATTAATTTGTGATCTCAAAGGAATAAAAGTTTTGTATTAAGTACCTCCAGAAAAAAATGTTGACCAACTTGACCAAATATATTTTCATAGCTAAGCAGTCGTTTGGAGAACCTAATAGCCCAATTCCTTTAAAAAGCCCAGATGCAAACTCTTCTTGTTTTATGTTCCCAACAGCAAGACCAAGACTCCAAGTTGCCATTCCTTCAGTGGCCGGCCGGCCCCCCCACCCCTCCCCATACGTCCCACATCGCAGACGGAGGTCCTTCATTTACGAGACAGGAAACCACCTGGGGTTTTGCTTGGAGACCGAAGGCGGGATCCTCAAGATACCTCCACTGAGAAGGAGGCGCTTCGGCCTGATGTAGAAACAGAAAGGCTCAGGAGAGACCTTCTGGAGATCTTTGTGGACCAAGACAGGAAAGTTGATTTTGTACTCATGAGGGATCCTTGCTGTCGAGACCTGAACAAGCTTTCAGAGGCACTTCTCAGCCTCACATTCTGAGCAACTGAACATTGTTCCACTCCAAAAACATGGAAGGAGTACATTAAGATATTTGCATCCAAGATAATTTTGGAACACCAGGACTCTTGGAGTGACTTCTTTGGGGTACCGCGCTTTGAGGAGAGGGGCAGAAGAAACTGGCTGCTTATGGTGTGGTAGATATTTAGCACCACTCAGTGCCTTTGACAACCAAATCAGACATTCCTTGGACAATGGATTGTGTCCCATTTACCAGTCGAGTAGCAAAAGCTCCGTTCTAGAAAGAGGCGATCTTAAAAGTGGCATTGAAATAACTCAGGTTTTGTTGTTGTTTATTCGTTCAGTTGCTTCCGACTCTTTTTGACTTCATGGACCAGCCCACGCCGGAACTCCGTCGGCCGTGGCCACCCCCAGCTCCTTCAAAGTCAAGCCAGTCACTTGAAGGATACCATCCATCCATCTTGCCTTCGTCGGCCCCTCTCCCTTTTTCCTTCCATTTTCCCCAGTATCATTATCTTCTCTAATCTTTCCTGTCTCCTCATGATGTGGCCAAAGTACTTCATCTTTGCCTCTAATATATTTCCCTCCAATGAACAGTCGGGTTTTATTTCCTGAAGTATGGACTGGTTGGATCTTCTCGCAGTCCAAGGCACTCTCAGAACTTTCCTCCAACACCACAGTTCAAAAGCATCCATCTTCCTTCGCTCAGCCTTCCCTATGGTCCAGCTCTCACATCCTTAGGTTACTACGAGGAATACCATTGCTTTAACCATGTTGGTCTTCGTTGCCAGTGTGATGTCTCTACTCTTAACTCAAATTACTGCATGCAATAAAGCCCATTTACAATAGAGTCTTGCTTATCCGACATCAGAACGTCGGATAAACAAAAATGTCGGATAATAGGGTGTCTCCTACTTTTACCTGTCCGATGTGGTGCTAGACACCCAGATTACTAACAACAGGGACTCAAAAAGTTAAAGCAAGACAATGCCCCAGGGCTAGAGTGCCCCAATAGGAAGTGCTCAGATGTGGAAGAGGAGCATGGGCAAGGAAAGTCAGATGACCACATTTTTGGTGGTACCTGGAGTGGTTTTCTTAAGGCCTCCTTGACTTGCCTTTTTCACTTACTGGGAATGGGTTAGGGTGCACTCCTTTAATTGAAGGGGAAATGCTGGAGGAAAAGGGGAGCGTCGGATAAGACGGAATGTCAGATAAGCGAAGGTCGGATAAACGAGATTCTACTGTACGTGCAGCCAAAGGTATGCGAGAGCAATAACCTCCTGGTGGGAAATTTCCCTTTGTAGAGATGTCTCTACTTAATGGACATTCAGTCTTAATTTCCATGATCCTCTCCTGCTCCAGAGAAATTCTGGGAATGGTTTTGTAAGAGGAATTTGCAGAAGGGTTCTCGGTATCTACAAAATAATGTGTGTTATAAAGTCCTATAAACTGGAGCCCAAACTAATTTAGAGTAGGCAAAGCTCAGATGTAGCCTCTTTTTGAATCTAGTCCATGCATGGTCAAACTTGGACCTTCCAGATGTTTTGGACTTCAACTCCCACCATTCCTAACAGCCTCAGGCCCTTTCCTTTTCCCCCTCAGCCGCTTAAGCGGCTGAGGGGGAAAAGGAAGGGGCCTGAGGCTGTTAGGAATGGTGGGAGTTGAAGTCCAAAACATCTGGAGGGCCCAAGTTGGCCCATGCCTTGAATCAGGGAAGAAATCACATACAGGACAGATGAAGGCTATACGATGGTCAACGACGATAAGCAAAAGCCATTTCAGTTCTATTTCTGGTTCCCCCAGAGACCATTGGTTGACTTATGCTTATATTTTAAAAGAATTGTTTGGATGTCACTGGCAAAAAAAACAAAAAAAAACCTCCCAATTTCAAAGGACATCCAGATTGAAATTTAGACTTGTGGTAGATTCTGAAAATGTTGAGCATCCTATTATTACTCCACTTGCCCCTTCCCACATCTCGAAAACAAAATTCAAGATTATTTTTTTCTAAATGGAAAATTATTTTCAGATTTCCAAAGTATAAGTTTGACAGCTTTTTATAGCATTTGTACAGCACTTGGAACTGTTTTTGAACATTAAAGATAAACGTGTTTTCATTGGTTATTTATTAATGAAATGTTTTTAAGACTTTTTTTTCGTGTCAGGAACGACTTGAGAAACTGCAAAATGCTTCTGGTGTGAGAGAATTGGCTGTCTGCAAGGATGTCGCCCAGGTGATTTGTTACCATCCTGTAAGAGGCTTCTCTCATGTCCCCGCTTGAGAAGCTGGAGTTGACAGATGGGAGCTCATCCCACTCCCCAGATTCGAACTGCTGACCTTTCAGTCTGCAGTCCTGCCGGCATAAGGGTTTAACCCAGTGTTTCTCAACCTGGGGGTCAGGACCCGGGGGGGGGGGGGGGGGGGGGGGGGGGGGGGGGGTCACGAGGGAGGTGTCAGAGGAATCACCCAAGACTATCAGAAAACACAGTATTTTCTTTTGGTCATGTGGGTTCTGTGTGGAAAGTTTGGTCCAATTCTATCATTGGTGGGGTTCAGAATGCTCTTTGATTGTAGGTAAACTATAAATCCCAGCAATTACAGCTCCCAAATGTCAAGGTCTATTTCCCCCAAACTCCACCAGTGTTCACATTTGGGCACATTGAGTATTCGTGCCAAGTTTGGTCCAGATCCATCAGTGCTCCACAGTGCTCTCTGGATGTAGGTGAACTACAACGCCAAAACTCAAGGTCAATGCCCACTAAACCCTTACAGTATTTTCTGTTGGTCATGGGAGTTCTATGTACCAAGTTTGGTTCAATTCCATCATTGGTGGAGTTCCAAATACTCTTTGATTGTAGGTGAACTATAAATCCCAGCAACTATAACTCCCAAATGACAAAATCAATTCTTCACAATCCCACCAGTATTCAAATTCGGGCGTACTGAGTATTTGTGCCAAATTTGGTCCAGCAAATGAAAATATCAGATGTTTACCTTATGATTCATAATAGTAGCAAAATTACAATTATGAAGTGGCAACAAAAATGTTATGGTTGGGGGTCACGGCAATATAAAGAACTGTATTAAAGGGTCGCGCATAGGGAAAGTTGAGAAACACTGCCCTAAATGGTTTTAGTCCAACTTACCTGTCCAAATACATCTCCTCCTATGAGCCTACTGGACCTTTAAGATCATCTGGGGAGGCCCTGCTCTCGGTCCCACCCTCTTTGCAAGCGCGATTAGTGGGGACGAGAGACAGAGCCTTCTTGTTGGTGGTTCCTCAGCTGTGACATCAGGAAGGCCCCATCCCTTCTATAAAAAAGCTGAAGACCTAGTTTTGCACACAAGCATTCATAGAATAAGTTACTATGGGTTTCGACACCGTCTGAATAACGATTATGTGCAAGGATTTTGGATGGACGGAACTACACATTCATCCAAAACATGGCTGTTTTTATGTGTTTTATTGATTAACTGTTAATTGGTTTTAACTGAGGGGGTGTTTTTATAGTCTATTGCTGATTGTTGATTTTACGGGCATTGAATTCTTGCCGGAATTGAGTTCCCTGAGGGGTGACAAAGGTGGGGTAGAAGAAAGAGGACTTTATTTTTATACCCCGCCTCCATCTCCATCACAAAAAAAATAAAAAAAAAATAGAGCAGTTGAAACAGGGTCATTTTAACTTAAAAGTGCAGTAATCAAATACATGAACTTGATTTTAGGCTATGGTAAAGGACCATCTGTCAAAGGAATGTCAATCGAATGCAGAAGCGGAACATCCACATCTCTAGTTCCTTATGAAACGTGGATAGGGAGGGTGCTAGCCTGATCTCCCTGAGGAGAGAGTTCCAGAGATGGGGGGCCACCATCAAGAATGCCCTTTCTCCCATCCCCACTAACCTGAGGGTCACCAGGGACCTGAGACGAGGGTGGGAGCGAGAGAAGAGCCTCCCCAGAGGATCATAGAGAGCGTGTGGACTCATAAGGGAAGATATGGTCACGAAGATAGGCAGGTCCTGAACCGTTTAAAGGGGTTCTCAACCTGTGGGTCCCCAGATGTTTTGGCCTTCAACTCCCAGAAATCCCAACAGCTGGTATACTGGCTGGGATTTCTGGGAGTTGTAGGCCAAAACACCTGGGGACCCACAGGTTGAGAACCACTGGTTTAGAGCTTTGTAGTTGACAACTTGCACCTTGAATTGGGACCGGAAACTTATCGGCAGCCAGTGGAGCTGTTTAAACAGGGGGGTTGACCGCTCCCTGTAACTTGCTCCAGTTAACAATCTGGCCACCGATCTTTGCACCAACTGTAGGTTCCAAGCCGTCTTCAAGGGCAGCCCCACGTAGAGTGTATTACAGTAGTCCAATCTTGAGGTAATTAAGGCATGGACCACCATGGTCAAGTCAGACTTCTTGAGGTACGCTTACACCTGGCACACAATCTTTAACTGTGCGAAGGCCCTCCCAGCCACCGCCAACACCTGAGCATCAAGCGTCAGCGCTGAATCCAGGAGGATCCCCAAAGTAAGTAATACATCTTTTATATAGGAGAGACCCCACTACTGAACTTAACCATCTCTGAAATGGGAACAATAGAAACTGCCAAAAAAGAATATAACAGGATTTTGCACCTTTTAATTTTCATCCCAAGCAAAAAAGATGTTACTTTCTCGCTGCTCAGTTCTCCTGTCAAGAATGGGCCAGCGGAAGGGGTATATGCGTAGGCGGGGAAGGGCTGCGGGTGATCTTAAGCGCCCGGCAAAACAGCACGGCTTCTTCGCCAAAGCCCAGCCGGTAATGCCACCAGTAGAGCTTCTGCCTGGGTTGCAAGATCACCCGGAGAGGTTCCCCTTCTTCGGCCACCGCCTCCCATTCTTCCTGTTCGGTCTGCACTCCCATCCCGCCATAAACGGCAGGGAGGGAGAACTGGGCTTGCAGAAGCGAGATGGTCAAGGAGTTGGAATCGGCAGCACCACACTCCTGGTACTTTGGACCGAAAGCCGACTTGATGTAGCCAACCTGCCGGGTGATTTCGTGGCTGCTGGGCATGGGCATGTTGGTGGCGTTGGAGATCAGTTTGATACACTCCCAGGCACCGAAAGCCGGCCCGTGAATGAGAGCCAGGCCTCCAGGGAGGAAACAAACCACATCAGGGTGGATTGAGAAGGTCTCCTTGTCTCCCGTTGTGGCAAGAAGATGGCCACAAAGGCGGCCCTCGTTCATCCCGAAGCAAGCAATCTGGGTGGCGTTGGCACCGTAATAATACAACCCATCCAGAAGCGGGCCTTCCAAGGAGACCTCCTTTGCTGCAGCCGCAGTGGAAAGGTCAGCCACGGAGAGGGCCACGCCACGCTTGAGAAAGAAGATGAAGAAACGGCCCTCACAGGAGGCGTAATGGTCACCTCCTTGGCAGCTGGGGTGCAAAGGCAAGGTGTTGGAGGGAGGCTCTGAGTTCAAGTCCAGCACTTTGCAAAAGGAGTCCCCATCGAGGAGGTAGATGTCAGAACTGGTGGGGTCTCCCACATAGTGGCCTTTGCCACGGCAGGCTGGGTGCAGATCCCACACCTTGATGTCCTGCCCTGAGGAGAAGTCCAGCACTTGAAGGTAGCAACCCAGGTCGGAGCGAACGATGAAGGAGCCGTGGCGAGTGGCGAATACATCTGTACCGGGGCAAATGGTCCGGGGAACGACAGCAGCCATGACGCCTATGCATGGGAGGGATGGAGAAAAATATTCCTTATTAATATAGAGTAGACTCTCCATTGAACAGAACTCAAGCAATCAGAATTCTCAAGCAACCAGTAAAAATGGAAGAAACAATACTTAAAATAAAAATTATTTATTTTAAAGTGGAATTGTAATTTGTCTTTATCTGTATAAATAAAAATGTAATGTTTGTTTGTGAGATTAACAGAACTCAAAAACCACTGGACAAATTGACACCAAATTTGGACACAAGACACCTAACAACCCAATGTATGTCCTTCACTCAAAAACATTTGATTTTGTCATTTGGGAGTTGTAGTTGCTGGGATGTATAGTTCACCTACAATCAAAGAACATTCTGAACCCCACCAATGATGGAATTGAACCAAACTTGGCACACAGTTCTCCCATGACCAACAGAAAATACTGGAAGGGTTTGGTGGGCAGTGTTCTTTGGTTTTGGAGTTGTAGTTCACCTACATCCAGAGATCACTGTGGACTCAAACAATGATGGATCTGCACCAAACTCTACAAGAATACTCAATATTCCCAAATGTGAACACTGGTGGAATTTGGGGAAAATAGAATCTTGACATTTGGGAGTTGTAGTTGCTGGGATTTATAGTTCACCTACAATCAAAGAGCATTCTGAACCACACCAATGATAGAATTGGGCCAAACCTCCCACACAGAATCCAAATGTGGGCCACAGTAACGCGTGGCAGGGGACGGCTAGTTTAGCCATAATTACTGTAATCATCACCATCATAAGTGATCCCCCACGTCAAATACGAATACCTTCCAAGTGTAGGGTCTTCGTGGTATGTCTTTAATTACTGTATTTCAATATACATATCAAGTCAATAAAAAGTTGATGACAGGGCATATTATGGGGCAGAGTATTAGGCCTATTTTTAATAATAGGCATCTAGCAGTTCCTATTGATGCTGTTAATTGAAAACCAATTATATTGTTGTTTTTCTTCTTCTTCTTCTTCTTATTAGATACATAACAAGGTAAGTACACAGCAAACAAGATCACTTTTGTATTTGATCACATGTCAGATACTTCCTAAGTGTCTAGGACCGTGTGATGTATTGGCGAATAATGCATGCAGAACCGAGTAGGGTGGCCTTTTGCAGGTGACAGATGGTAATGTTGTCAGCACCGATTGTTTTTAAGTGCAGACCAAGGCACTCCACCCAGTGTGCCGATCACCACTGGGACCACCTTTACTAGCATGTGCCAGAGTCTTTGCAGTTTTATCTTTAAAATGCTCATGTCATGTCAGCTTTTCCAGTTGCTTCTCATCAATCCTGCTATCGCCTGGGATTGTAACATCAACAGTCCAGATATTTTTCCCTCCCACGATTGTTAGGTCAGGAGTATTGCGTTCCAAAGCTCTGTTAGTCTGAATTTGGAAGTCCCAGAGTAGTTGGATGTGTTCATTTTCTGTAACTTTTTCAGGCTTGTGATCCCACAAGTTCTTTGTCACAGGCAGATAGTATTTGTGGCACAAGTTCCAATGGATCATCTGAGCAATGGCGTTATGCCTCTGCTTCTAGTCCATCTGTGGATCTCCTTGCAGCAGCCGAGTATGTGATCTGTTGTTTTGTCTATTTCCTTGTAGAGTTTTCAATTCTGGCTTTGATGGGATTGGTTCTAATGGCTTGTTCTTGGGCTGCCAGAATCAGGCCCTCCGTCTCCTTTTTCAGAGTTCCATTTGTGAGCCACATCCATGTTTTTTCTTTGTCTATTTAGCTCTCAATTTTTCCCAGGAACTGTCCATGGAGAGCCTTCTTTTGCCAATTGTGTCTTCTGCTCTGGATTGTGTTTTTACAATATTATTATTAGAAACACAACAAGATGAGTCCACAGCAGACACTCCTCCTCCTCCTCGTAGTAGTAGTAGTAGTAGTAATATTTTCATATTGATTACGGATTATTGATCTGTATCTCAAATTCAGGAAAGAATTTGAGATACAGATCAATAATCCGTAATTCGACAATGGAAGTTAATAGATTTAATATGTTATCACCACCACTTTTGTTGTTAGAGTCCTCATCCCACCTCTCCCAAAACACCTCTATTTTTGTATTTGGTAGGGTTTTGGTTGGTTTTTGGAATACTTGTATTTGCATATAATGCATAATATAATGCATAATGGATTGTATTTTTATGGTATTCACTCTTTGTCTTTTGCACTTTAAGCAGTTTCCTACTATTGACTTCCATCAATGTTGGTTCTTGACTGCCTTTAATAATGATGATGACGATGATGATGATAGACACAAAAACGCAATATGACACAGCAAACAAGATATATGTGTTCATTTGCAGGTTTATGATCCCAGCAGTTCTTTACTATTGGCAGGTGTTACTTGTGACATAAGTTCCAATGAATCATTTGGGCCACGGAGTTGTGCCTCTGTTTGCAGTCCATCTGTGCAATTTTCTTGCAGCAGCTGAGGATATGATCAATGGTTTCATCAGCTTCCTTGCACAGCCTGCATTTTTCGATCAGGAAGAATCAGGCCTTCTGTCTCCTATATTATTATTATTATTATTATTATTGACACAAAAGTGCAGTACGTCACAGCAAACGAGATCTATATGCTGGATTTAGTATCACAAAATCACAAGTCGAACACTTCCCATGCGTCTAGGACTGTGTGATGTATTTTTGAATGATGTGCGCAGATCCAAGTAAGCTGGCCTTTTGTAGTTGACAGATTGTGATTTTGTCGATGTTTATTGTTTCTAAATGCCGGCTGAGATCTTTTGCCACGGCACCCAGTGTGTCGATGACCAGTGGGACCACCAGTACTGGTTTATGCCAGAGCCTTTGCAGTTCGATTTTGAAGTCCTGATCACGGCTGAGTTTTTCCTGTTGTTTTTCCTCAATGCGACTGCCACCTGGAATGGTGACATCAATAATCCAAACTTTTTTCTTTTCCATAATCGTGATGTCTGGTGTATTGTGTTTCAAAACTTTGCCAGTCTGGATTCGAAAGTCCCACAGTATTTTTGCGTGTTCATTTTCCACTACCTTTGCAGGTTTATGATCTTTACTACTAGTTCTTTACTACTGGCATGTGGTACTTGTTACATAAGTGAATCATTTTGGCCACAGAGTTGTGCCTCTGTTTGTAGTTCGTCTGGGCAATTTTCTTGCAGCAGCTGAGGATATGGTCCATGGTTTCATCAGCTTCCTTGCACAGTCTGCATTTTGGGTCATCCGCTGATTTTTCAATCCTGGCCTTAATTGCATTGGTTCTGATAGCTTCCTTCTGGGCTGCAAGAATCAGGCCTTCTGTCTTTATTATTATTTATTATTGTTGTTGTTGTTCTGGAACAGCTGGTCCAGGAGCTCCAATTTTATTTGCTTTGAATTAAATGTTGGTTTGCAATCCCAGACTTGGGATTTTGCAGCAGGATGGCTTCCTGTTATAGTTTGCAATCATAGGGCAAGCTACCTGTCTATTATAGTTAGGATCCCTGGTCCCGCCCCTCTCTGGGTTTTTTGGAGGGAAGGGGCCATTTTTCAGTTAGTCTCAGCAAAGGAAGTCAATGCAGAGGATGTATACAGACGTCCTCCTGTGCAAAGGCTTCGTCCCTTAAGACTTCCCAGGGGAGAACAGTCTTGAGAGCCTCTGAAGATTCCCAAAGGTTCCAGGGAAACAGCCTTACAGCCCTGAGGAATTCCGGAGGGAATAACAACTCTAACCATCAAAGCAGCTAAGTGATTACAAGCCTTTTGATAGGTTTGCTCGGCGTTGAGACGCAGTTTAGCCCGGTAGTGAATCCACATCAGTAAGGTTTAAGTTCACAGCAGCCTTGGAGGAGCTAGAAAGGGGAATTTTCCTTTAAACAAGGTTTTTGAAGATAGTGCCTGTTTCCTGTGAACAAGATTGCAAGAGCCAAGAGATTATTAAGAAAGTTTTACAATTCCTGTTTGGTCATCAATAAAAGACTGTTATATTTAAGCTCAAGCCTCATAAAGACTGTTTAATAAGGGAAATTTCTCTAAAGGCTTCTTTTCGGGGGGCCTAGCTTCCCACTGGATCCAAGCCATACATCCTCTCTTAAAGGCACTTCATTTCAGGTCCAGCGGCGACAGAACAATTATTATTATTATTATTATTATTATTATTATTATTATTATTATTATCATCATCTGGCCAAATGCAGAGGATTTAAAGATAGAACAGCAAAGACTCACAATCGTGGGGGGGGGGGGGGGACAAAACATGGACCATCGATGTTGCAATCCCAGGTGACAACAGATTTGTTGGTTGTTAAGAGTTGTTGAAAATTACAGAAAAGCTGGACCACTCTTAACAAGTACCATGTCAGAATACACAAAGAAGCCACTGAAATCCACAAGCATATGGCTAACATCAACAGAAAGAAGGAAACCATGAAAATGAACAAAATCCAGCTACCAGTATTTAAAAAAAATTCTAAAATCAACACTGTAAATAAAGAGCAACACTAAAAAAAAAAAAAGAGGAATTCCAAACATGAAACAATCAGGGCCAGCTAACACCTCCCAACAAAGGATTCCCCCAGACAACAACCAACCAAGCTTTGAAGCTGCAAGGTCGGTCAATGCTAATTAAGGTGGCCAATTGCAACTTTCTCCCACCCTGGGCATTATTCCACAGGGATGGATGGATGGATGGATATATATATATATATATATATATATATATATATATAGACACACACACACACACACCCCATTTGCCTAGTTTCCAACAGACCCCACAAGCTCTGAGGATACCTGCCATAGATGTGGGAGAAACGTCAGGAGAGAATGCTTCTGGAACATGACCAGACCGCCCAGAAAATTCACAGCAACCCAAGCTAGGAGTTGTTGTTTGGCAAGGCACCAGAACTCTTTAACAGAGAAGGATAAAGACCTTGTGGCATGGAAATGTCCCTTCTAACTAATGGTTTGTGCATCATCTAAAATGCATTAATATTATCTTTATGCATAATGATGCAAACAAAACTAGATCACATGCTGCGTCTACATTATATAATGAATGCAGTTTGACTCTACTTTTAACTGTTATGGAATCCTGGGAGTTGTAGTTTGGTGAGACACCAGTGCAACGAGCAGGAAGGTGTTCAGGGACTGATAAGCAGAGAAGGCTCAAGATCTGTCAAAGCTGGAACGTGGGAGTGGCTCAGATCTTGAGATCTGTAGTTTTACAAGGTCTTGAGCCTTCTCTGCCTAAAGAGTGCAAGTGCCTCACCAAACTACAACTCCCTGGATTGCATAACCTTTTTTTCTGGGGAGGAGGGGATGAAGGGAAGGAAGAGAAAGCCTGCAATGCAAACCAACGCACCTCTTCTTCACCCTGCACACTCCAGTCCTTGCTTCCTCTCCAAAGCTCAGTCAGTCCTTCGATTGCGCATGCGCACCGTGGTTGGCAACTGGGCTCCTCCTCCTTGAACAAGCCCAAGCAAAGGGAAACTGATGTGTAGCATTGGCTGCAAGTTAAAGGCACAGGAGGGCATGCAAAAAAAAAAAAAAAAGAGGCCTCTCTTGGTGCAGGAAAAAAGGATCCCACCAACACATTTGAAACATTGGAACATGCTCAAAGGATGCACCTTCTCGACAGGTTTTGCATGGCCATCTGTCAGGACGGTAATGGATCATGCTCAAAGGATGCACCTTCTCGACAGGTTTTGCACGGCCATCTGTCAGGAGGGATTTGGTTGTGCATTCCTGCACAACTGGATGACTCTTGGGCAATGGAACATGCTCAAAGGATGCACCTCCTCTACAGGTTTTGCATGGCCATCTGTCAGGAGGGATTTGATTGTGCATTCCTGCACAACTGGATGACCCTTGGGCAATGGAACATGCTCAAAGGATGTGTCTCCTAAGCAGGTTTTGAATGCCCATCTGTCAGGAGGGATTTGATTGTGCATTCCTGCACAACTGGATGACCCCTGGGCATTGAAACAGGCTTAAAGGATGTGCTCCCTCGGCAGGATTTGCATGGCCATCTGTTAGGAGGGATTTGATTCTGCATTCCTGCACAACTGGATGGTCCTTGGGCAATGGAACATGCTCAAAGGATGTGCTTCCTCGGCAGGATTTGCATGGCCATCTGTTAGGAGGGATTTGATTCTGCATTCCTGCACAACTGGATGACCCTTGGGCAATGGAACATGCTCAAAGGATGTGTCTCCTAAGCAGGTTTTGCATGGCCATCTGTCAGGAGGGATTTGATTGTGCATTCCTGCACAACTGGACGACCCTTGGGGCACTGGAACATGCTCAAAGGGTGCGCCTCATCGACAGGTTTTGCATGGCCATTTGTCAGGAGGGATTTGATTGTGCATTTCTGCACAACTGGATGATCCTTGGGCAATGGATCATGCTCAAAGGATGTGTCTCCTCGACAAGGTTTGCATGGTCATCTGTCAGGAGGGATTTGAATGTGCATTCCTGCACAACCCTTGGGCAATGAAACATGCTCAAAGGATGTGCCTCCTTTACAGGTTTTGAATGGCCATCTGTCAGGAGGGATTGGATTGTGCATTCCAGCACAACTGGACGACTCTTGGGCAATGGAACAGGCTCAAAGGATGTGCCTCCTCTACAGGTTTTGCATGGCCATCTGTCAGGAGGGATTTGATTGTGCATTCCTGCACAACTTGACGACATTTGTGCAATGGAACATGCTTAAAGGATGCACCATCTCAACAGGTTTTGCATGGCCATCTGACAGGAGGGATTTGATTGTGCATTCCTGCACAACTGGATAGCCCTTTGGGTCTTTTCCAAATCTTTGATTCTATAGTAAGACTTATTCAACAGAGGAATATGTTGCTTCCAAGGATGATGAGATCTTGGAGATTTTTAAGCAGACAGTGGATGGTCATCTGTCGGGAGGGCTTTTTATGTATCGCATATGTATTTTCCTTAATGTTTGCATATGTTTGGATTTCAAATGGTATCAAAATGCTTTTTATTTCCTATGTGGAGAGAAAAAGCAGGGTATAAATAAACATCATAATAATGCTACATAACACAATTTCTGTTCCTGAGTTATAAATATCATCTGCACTATAGAATGAATGCAGTTTGACACCACTTTTAACCATCAGGGCTCAATGTTATGGACTCCTGGGGGTTGTAGTTTGATGAGGCACCAGCACTCTGACAGAGAAAGCTCAAGATCTTGGAAAACTACAATTCCTGGAACATTCAATAACACAACTCTGCAGTTAAATTATTTTTGGGACTGCATTCTCCAGAATCCCACAATGTCTCCATTGTAGTGAGAATTGTCTCTGCAAAACCTTTTGGAGATTATATTTCCCAGAATTCCCCAAACATTGCGGCCTTGTTTGGTTGGCTGGAGGAGGATTCTGGTACGTTTAAGGTAAAGGTTTCCTCTTGACATTAAGTCTAGTTGTGTCCGACTCTGGGGGGGGGAGGGGGGTGCTCATCTCCATTTCTAAGCCGAAGAGCCGGCGTTGTCCGTAGACACCTTCAAGGTCATGTGGCCAGCATGACTGCATGGAGCACCATTACCTTCCTGCAGAAGTGGTACCTATCCATCTCGCATTTTCATGTTTTCAAACTGCTAAGTTGGCAGAAGCTGGGGCTAACAGCGGTAGCTCACCCTGCTTCCCGGAATCCAACCGCCGACCATTCAGCAAGTTCAGCAGCTCAGTGGTTTAACCCACTGTGCCACCAAGGGACCCTTCTGGGTACGTTTAGACCTTCCAAAATAGCCTTTCCAAACTGTGATGATGGGTGCACAGCACTAACACTGTTGGCATTCTTTGTAGTGAGAGTTGCTGGTACAAAATGAACCCCTGGGAGAAGGAAACCCTTGTTTTAAAAAACACTTTAAGTTTTGCACATTGAGATGCACATGAAGAAGCTTCTCCAAAGAAAAATATATTTTGGCAATAATATTCCAATGAAGGAAAGGATAGGCAACTATAGAAGCAGAGCAGGCATGGGCAAATTTACAACCCCCAGGTGTTTTGTGGGAGTTGAAGTCCAAAACACCTGGAGGGCCGAAGTTTGCCCATGTTGAACCTCAGCAGGAATTCACCTTGCTCAAAGCACTCACCAGGAAACCAGACGTGGTAATGAATAGTTTATTTGTAAAACACGTAAGAAGAAAAAGCTAAAGACACCTTGAGCAAATAATAGAGTGAAAATCCCAAGTGTGCATGTAGAAAGCAAGCCCCATAGGCAAAAGGTAAATCCAAAAGTAAGAGTTAAAACTTGAACATTAATCCAGAAAACAAGGAACAAAACAAGAGCAGGAATCCATAGGTAAACATTTAAAGCAGGAAGCAAAACTTGACTAGAAATTGTAGGCCTAGAGCAATGGTTCTCTACCTTCCTAATGGCGCAACCCCTTAATACAGTTCCTTATGTTGTGATGACCCCCAACCATAACATTATTTTCATTGCTACTTCACAACTGTAATTTTGCTCCTGTTATGAATCATCTTGTAAATAACCAATATGCAGGATGTATTTTCATTCATTTGGCACAAATACTTAATATGCCCAAATTTGAATACTAGTGGGGTTAAGGGGAGGATTGATTTTGTCATTTGAGAGTTGTAGTTGCTGGGATTTATAGTTCACCTACAATATCAAAGAGCATTCTGAACTCCACCAGTGATGGAATTGAACCAAACTTTGGACACAGAGCTCCCACGACCAACAGAAAATACTAGAAGGGTTTGGTGGGTAGTGACCTTGGGTTTTAGAGTTGTAGTTCACCTACATCCAGAGAGCAGTGATGCATCTGGACCAAACTTGGCACAAATACTCAATATGCCCAAATGTGGACACTGGTGGGGTTGGGGAAAATAGACCTTGACCGCCTAGAACGCAACCTCTTACGAGAGAGAATTCACACCATCCGCAAAGAACTCGCAAACACAGACAAGGAATTGCTGCACCTCCATATCAACATCAGCCAGAAGATGAATTCCCAGGACTGGGACAAAATAGACAACCTCACTTACAGGAAAATGGAGAAAAACATGGCTGTCCATACCAACAGACAAAAGCAAAAATTCCACAAACGCCAAAAGCAACAGCCGAAACCACAACTGGATACATCACAGACCATCATCAACCTGACAGACAGACAACTCTCTGAAGACCAAGTATCCATACTAGCGAAAGGAGGAAACTTTGCTGTAACCGCCACCAGGATCCCAGTAGAAAACATCATTGCCAATGTTGAATCAGCAATTTATCGCCTCCCCGAGGAGGAAGCAGAAGAAGTACGAGCAGAAACAGCAAGGATCCTGAAAAAGGCAAAACTTCCCTCCAGTAACATTACTAGGAAGGAAAGACAAGCCATCAGAGAACTGAATTCAGATCCTGATATCCTCGTTATGCCAGCAGACAAGGGGAATGCCACAGTAATCATGCATACAGAACAATACAAGGAGAAGATCAGAAAACTCCTGGACCCTACTATATACAAAAAACTCAAGCAAGACCCAACTGCCAAAATAACCAAGAAAACCAACACCCTGATTAAGAACTCCTCCATAAACTTTGACATACGACAACAGCTATGTAAATCGGAAGCCCATCCACCCAGGCTTTATGGACTCCCAAAAATCCATAAGGACTCCACCCCACTCAGACCCATTGTGAGTGCCATTGGATCCCCCACATACGACCTAGCAAAATTTCTTGCTGCACAGTTACAAAGCCATATTGGGCTCACTACACACTACATCAAGGACTCAGCCCACTTCATAGAAAAAATCAGCAATCTCAAGCTAAATACAAACGACAAACTGATCAGCTTCGATGTGGTATCTCTATTTACCATGGTCCCGGTAGCAGACACCATGGCACTCATCAACCAGAGGTTCCCAGAAGACATCACGGCTCTGTTTCACCATTGCCTCACCACCAGTTACTTTCAGTGGGACAATGAATTCTACGAACAGAAAGATGGAGTAGCTATGGGGAGCCCTCTCAGCCCGGTCATAGCTAACTTCTACATGGAACACTTTGAAGAACAAGCCCTGGAGACAGCAGCCAAAAAGCCCACGATATGGTTCAGATATGTGGATGACACCTTCACCATTTGGAGCCATGGAGAAGAAGAACTCAACAGGTTCCTGGACCATCTTAACAGCATCCACCCAAACATCCAGTTCACCATGGAAAAAGAAAATGAAGGAAGACTGCCTTTTCTAGATGTCCTAGTCATCCGCAAACCAGATCAACAATTGGGTCACACCGTCTACAGAAAACTCACACACACAGATAGATATCTACATAAAAACTCCAACCATCACCCAAGTCAAAAAAGAAGCACCATTAAAGCCTTGGCAGACCGTGCAAAAAGAATCTGCGAACCCCACCTCCTCCAAGATGAACTGAACCACCTCAACTGGGCTCTCCAGGCCAATGGATACTCCACCGCAGACATCAGAAGAGCTGCAAGACCAAGAACAAGCCACGAGAGTAAAGATGAAGATCCACCCAGAGGAAAAGTGTTCCTGCCATACATCAAGGGAACCACTGATCGCATAGGGAAGCTGATGAGGAAACACAACATACAAACAATCTACAAACCCACCAAGAAAATCCAACAAATGCTACGTTCAGCAAAGGACAAGAGGGATCCTCTCACCTCTGCAGGAGTCTACCGTATACCATGCAGCTGTGGACAAGTCTACATAGGGACCACCAAACGCAGCGCCCAGACACGCATCAAGGAACATGAAAGGCATGCAGACTACTTCAACCAGAGAAGTCAGCCATAGCAGAGCACCTGATGAACCAGCCTGGACACAGCATATTATTTGAGAACACAGAAATGCTGGACCACACCAACAACCACCATGTCAGACTACACAGAGAAGCCATTGAAATCCACAAGCATGTGGACAATTTCAACAGAAAGGAAGAGACCATGAAAATGAACAAAATTTGGCTACCAGTATTAAAAAACTCTAAAATTATAACAGCTAAACAACAGAGAGGAAAAAACCAGGCACAGATTAACACCTCCCAGAAACAAGTTTTTCCCAGGCTCAGGCAGGACTTCAAATGCTAATGAAGGTGATCAGCTGAAACATTCACACCTAGCTCTAGCAGGGAAGAGCTCCTTGTCCCACCCCAGCCATTCCACAGATATATAAACCCATTGTCCTAATTCCAACAGACCTCACTACCTCTGAGGATGCTTGCCATAGATGCAGGCGAAACGTCAGGAGAAATGCCTCTAGAACATGGCTCTATAGCCCGAAAAAACCCACAAGAACCTAGACCTTGACATTTGGGAGTTGTAGTTGCTGGGATTTATAGTTCATCTATAATCAAAGAGTATTCTGAATGCCACCAATGATAGAATTGGGCCAAACTTCCCACATGGAACTCCCACAACCAACAGAAAATACTATGCTTTATAATTGTCTTTGGCAACCCCTTTGACACCCCCTCGTGACATCCCCCCCCCCCAGGGGTCCTGACCCCCAGGTTGAGAAACACTGGCCTAGAGCTTGGGGCACGAACCAGGAACAAGACAGGACGTTGCTTGATCTGAAATCTTAGCAGCTCTTTCTCTCATTTAAGGGCTGCAATACATGGACACATTCTTTTGACCTTGAGAGGCCACTTCTGCCTATCCTTCCCATGGCTTTGCTTGCACCTGAATTTCTTCCCCTGCAGGAGAAGCCAGCTGTTTCTTTGGATGAGCTCATGTTATCCTCCCTTCCTTGCCTGTCGGCTTCCAAAGGAGTTTCATTCCCACACTCAGAAACAACATCTTGCTCCAAAAATCCTTCCGTTCTCCCAGACAGGACCATCTTGCTCCAACACCCCCTCTGTCTGGGCACCCACAGAACCAGCAGGCCCTGTACCTCCAAACCCCTCATTATCATCAGCTGGCTGAACCACAACATCCCATGCGTGAACTACAGCAACAATTGAGCTAAAATTTAGGAGGAAGGAAGCAAGGGGATCTCACTGGGAGGATCGCGACTGTTGGTAACTTTGATTTGTCTACAAAACAAAATGACTTCTTTCCCAAGACCCAGCTGGTATTGCCACACATAGGAAACTTCATTGGGTTGCAGTGCGAATTGTACACTCATCTCAACCTCGCAGGCTTCTTCCCATTCCTCCTGCTTTGCGTCGAGGCCAAGACCTCCGTATTGGATGGGTAACGCAAACTGGGACTTGGCTATTGCAATGGCAATGGAGCCGGGGTCTGGAGAATCCGACAGCGAGGCCGTCCAACTGGTCCCAATGTTGGCAAGTTTCTCCTTGGCGCAGCCCACCTTCATGAAGATGCCTTGCGTGCTGGTGATGGGGTCGTCGGAGTGGTTGTGGATGGTGTCCACCAGTTCCCAAGCCCCAAACGCCGACCCTTTAAGGAAGCCAAGACCCCCCAGCAAGAAGCTGAGGAAACTGGGATGGAAAGAAAAGAGCTCTCCGCTGAAGTTGTCCTGCAGTTGCCAATAGAGGTAGCTCTGGTGGCTTTCCATCTTCTCTTTGGACCACCAATGTTGTCCCGGAACAGTGGCTAGGTCTGGTTCCCCTGTTGTCAGGTCTTTCACCGCTGTGACACTGCCTGGGCTGAAGATGATGCCAAAGGATCCACTGGTGATGGCAAAGTAATGCTGCCCATCACAGCAACTGGGGTGCAAAAGACGAGGTTCTTTGCTGGTCCCAGTGTGGAGGTCTTCAGCTTCCAGGATTTTGTTGTCTTTTATGATGTAGATGGAGTTGTGCCATCGGGAGCCGAAATAGTGTTGGCCGCCCCTTAAAGAAGAGTGGAGAGGACGCAGATCGGCACAAGGCGAGGTCGGCAAAGGAGGCAGGAGCAGGTAACAATTCAGATCCGGGCGGACAATCACATCTCCAACCCTGGTGCTGAAAATGTGGACATTGGGTATGTCCTTCTGTGGGGCCATTGTATCTAAGGCCTTTATGGGGAAGAAGATGGAAAACAGAGATGGAGAATAAGAAAATAAGTGACTTAAGTTCCATAAACTCTATCCTTCCCACAGCACACATATTCCATCAGCTACTGCTCACAATGAAATATAAGTACCAGCGACTCTTCTCAATTTGAAGTTTGATCCGTGGGGATTTAAAAAGGTGATGGATGTGTTCGTCCTGTGCAGGTTTATTTGTAAGGAAAAGTTGGACAGGAATGATATCTAGCATATTCCTAGCCAAGGGTGCATCTACACTGTACAATGAATGCAGTTGATACCGCTTTACTGGAGCCCCCGATGGCGCAGTGGGTTAAAGCACTGAGCTGCTGAACTTGCTGACTGAAAGGTCGTAGGTTCGAATCTGAGGAGCAGGATGAGCTCCCGCTGTTAGCCCCAGCTTCTGCCAACCTAGCAGTTTGAAAACATGCAAGAGTGAGTAGATCAATAGGTACTGCTCTGGCGGGAAGGTAACGGCAGTCCATACAGTCATGACCTTGGAGGTGTCTACGGACAACGCCGGCTCTTCGGCTTAGAAATTGAGATGAGCACCAACCCCCGGAATTGAACATGACTGGACTTAATGTCAGGGGAAAACCTTTACCTTTTACCTTAGCCTTTTAAACAGCCATATGCAATTAGGTAAATATTACACAGATACAACCTTTGCCCACCTGGAACAATGAGTTAGCAGTCATAGGTAAAACTTTACTTATTGAGTTTACATCTGTTAGCACATTTGTGGAAAGCAAAGAGATTTCACCATAAAAACTGGAAACCACCCTATTTTCAACCTGATTTGCCATTCCCAGTAATTTTCAGCTTTTGACAACCCCCTCCATTTCTCAAGTTTATCCTGATTCGATCCACCCATCATCCCATTCCCAATTCTTACACTTGTTGCGTTGCACGCTGGTTGTCAACGTTATTGGTCTATGCCAGTCGAAAAATCTTGTCCCTTCCTTCAAGCTTTGGTCTCTCCTTTTTAACCAAGAACGCCTTCCTTTGCATTCCCAGCCACAAATTGTTTGATATGCCCTCTCCTTTTCTCTGGCAGCGCCATGTACTCTTTTCTCTTCCTAAGTTGTGACAGAAGGGAACCAACTTATCTTCATGCGCAAATTCTCTTGAGATGAAATCCCTCCCTTTTATCTGCTAAGTCCATAAGGCAAAAGGCAGCTATCAATGTTTTGCAAAAGGCTTATCTGGATGTTCAGCAGAATTTGAGAAGAGGCAAGAGTTTGGAAACTTAGAATCATAGAATCATATAGTTGGAAGAGACCTCGTGGACCATCCAGTCCAACCCCATTCTGCCAAGAAGCAGGAAAATTGCATTCAAAGCACCCCCAAACAGATGGCCATCCAGCCGCTGTTTAAAAGATTCCAAGGAAGGAGCCTCCACCACACTCCGGGGCAGAGAGTTCCACTGCTGAACGGCTCTTACAGTCAGGAAGTTCTTCCTTAATGTTCAGATGGAATCTCCTTTCTTGTAGTTTGAAGCCATTGTTCCGTGTCCTCGTCTCTAGGGCAGCAGAAAACAAGCTTGCTCCCTCCTCCCTATGACTTGTCTCACATATTTATACATGGCTATCATGTCTCCTCTCAGCCTTCTCTTCTGCAGGCTAAACATGCCCAGGTTTTTAAGCCGCTCCTCATAGGGCTTTTTCTCCACATCATTTTAGTTGCCCTCCTCTGGACACATTCCAGCTTGTCAATATCTCTCTTGAATTGTGGTGCCCAGAATTTGACACAATATTCCAGATGTGGTCTAACCAAGGCAGAATAGAGGGGTAGCATTATTTCCCTAGATCTAGACACTATGCTCATATTGATGCAGGCCATAATCCCATTGGCTTTTTTGCCGCCACATCACATTGTTGGCTCATGTTTAACTTGTTGTCCACGAGGACCCCAAGATCTTTTTCACTTGAGCCACGCATCCCCCATTCTGTATGTTTGCATCTTAGAGGAAGAATTTTCAATTGGGGAGCTTACAGGAGGGTTTATTTACAGTACTTATATTCCACCCTTCTCACCCAAAAGGGGACTCAGGGCGTATCACAGAACACATATACGGCAAACATTCAATGACGATCATACAATGACAAGACAGACAACAAATAGAGGAATATTTAGGCTTTTTCTCATCATTCAGCATCTTTTGGAGGCTGTGCTTTGTTCCTGCCACAGGGGGGTGCTGTTTGACCAGTAAACCCAGCATTCCCCAACACCATACTTCCCCCATATGTCTAGGACTACAGCTCCCACCATCCCCATCCATCCTGGTAATCTAGAGCAGTGTTTCTCAACCTTCCTAACGCCGCGACAGGAGCCCCTGGTGGCACAATGGGTTAAACGCTTGTGCCACAGGACTGAAGACTGATAGGTCACAGGTTCGAATCCAGGGAGAGTGTGGATGAGCTCTCTCTGTCAGCTCCAACTCCCCATGCGGGGACATGAGAGAAGCCTCCCATAAGGATGGTAAAACATCAAACACCCAGTCGTCCCCTGGGCAACGTCCTTGCAGACATCCAATTCCCTCACACCAGAAGTGACTTGCAGTTTCTCAAGTTGCTCCTGACACAAAAAAATGCCACGACCTCTTAATACAGTTCCTCATATTGTGATGACCCCCAACCATAAAATTATTTTCATTGCCACTTCATAACTGTAATTTTGCTACTGTTATGAATTGTAATGTAAATAGCTGATATGCAGAATGTATTTTAATTCACTGGACCAAATTTGGCACAAATACCCGATACGCCCACATTTGAATACTGGTGGGGTTTTTTTTGGGGGGGGGGATTGATTTTGTCATTTGGGAGTTGCAGTTGTGGAATTTATAGTTCACCTACAATCAAAGAGCACTCCAAACTCCACCAATGATGGAACAGAACCAAACTTGGCACAGAGAACTCCCATGACCAATAGAAAATACTGGAAGGGTTTGGTGGGCATTGACTTTGAGTTTTGGAGTTGTAGTTCACCTACATCCCAAGACCACTGTGGACTCAAACAATGATGGATCTGGAGCAAACTTGGCACGAATACTCAGTATGCCCAAATGTGAACACTGGTGGAGTTTGGGGAAAATAGACCTCGACATTTGGGAGTTGTTATTGCTGGAATTTATAGTTCACCTACAATCAAAGAGCATTCTGAACTCCACCAATGATGGAATTGGACCAAACTTGGCACACAGAACTCCCTTGACCAACGGAAAATACTGGAAGGGTTTGGTGGGCATTGACTTTGAATTCTTGAATTGTAGTTCACCTACATTCCAAGACCACTGTGGACTCAAACAATGATGGATCTGGACCAAACTTGGTACGAATACTCAGTATGCCCAAATGTGAACACTGCTGGAGTTTGAGGAAAATAGACCTTGACATTTGGGAGTTATAGTTACTGGGATTTATAGTTCACCTAAAATCAAAGAGCATTCTGAACCCCACCAAAGGTAGAATTGGACCAAACTTCCCACACAGAATCCCCATGACCAACAGAAAATACTGTATTTTCTGATGGTCTTTGATGACCCCTCTGACACCCCGTCATGACCCTCCACCCAGAAGTCCTGATCACAGGTTGAGAAACACTGATTTAGAGGGAAATTGATTAAGAAAGACTGTCTGTGTCTCAATTACAGAACTGTATTGGAAGAAGTCCTTGAAAGAGCATGTCAGAGAAGCTTCTTTTATTGAGACAATGCTCAAAATTCTCACGCCAGTATGGCAAGTGCGGATTCTGGGTGCCCATACTAACCAGATTATTTGTGGATTGTCCTTTTAAGAAGTGTTTTATCTATGCTCCAGTATTGACCAGCTCCAAAATCTTATCACGGTATCAATAGAATAACAATTCAATTTCTCCATCAAAAGTTTTCCTCAGAAGGAGGCAGAATTTGTTCATCTTTGGGTTTCATGGTCTTCTGGAGTTTGATTCCAAATTTTTCACTGAGTACTGCTAGAATATCAGAGCCATCCAGAGTGGTCTCTGTACGTTCTTCTCCTCTTGTAGTGATGAGACGCCAACCTATGTAGGTCAGGCGCCCACCATCTTCTTTGTGCAACGAGCAAAAGGATTTGCATGTGAAAACGGAGCTGGGTGAAGTCTGGTGGTAGAGGCACATGTCAGTAAAGTCATCCAGTTTCTTCTCTTCAAGGGTGAACTTATATAAGGGCCTCCCCTCTTTTCCAGACACAACTCGTCTTTCCAAGACCCAGATGTCCCCAGTCAGACCCAGCTGGAAAATACCACCATCCTGGACTTGCTCCATGTTTGGTTTCAGCACTAATGGATCCATGAACCCTTCACCAAATCCAACATCACAAAGTAGGTGGTTCCCGTCCAGCTGAACCCAAATCACCAAGTGGTCCAAGGGAGGACCGTAACACCCGGTGATGCGGTTTCGGACACGTCCAGACACACCTTTGGCCTCAAATCCCAAGGTTTTCAGTAGCCACAGGAAAAGTCCATTCAGCTCATAGCAGAAGCCGCCTCGGTGACGCCGGATGATCTTTTCATAGATGTGGGGTAAATCCAGAGTGATGGGTTCTCCACAGTGGATGCTGAGACTCTCAAAGGGCACAGAGAGGAGGTGGCAGCGGTGAAGACCAAACAAGGTCTCCCAAGATGGTTGGGTAGGACCTTGGTATCCGATGCGTTGGAGGTAACAACCAACATCCATGTTGAACTGAACCTAAGCAATAGAGGAGAAGGGTATGAAATTGAGTCCAGATTTTTTCAGACGTCACTTTCAACTTCTTCAGTTGCTTGGTGGATGTCAATTCATCAGTGGATTTCAGGTCCTTTGGTGGTTTTCAATTCTTCTTGTCCAACTTGGCAAAATGAGGGTGAACCCCGTAATTGCTGAGTGCTGGTTTGTCGACCGGATTCCTCCTCCCCTTCTCCAGAAATCCTTTCATCTGCAGATACAGCTGGTAGGATTTGCTCTCCAGGAAGTAAATGTGAGAGTTCATGTGAGCACAGGCTTTAAAAAAAAGTTAAACTCCACCTCTCTCTAGCTTCTTTCTCAACTTTATGGCAGGACTTTAACCCTTTTGTAGTCTCCGATATCCTAGATTCATGAGTGAAGAGGATCAGTAGCATAATGGTCAATTTTAACCTGCATTTTATCAGTGGATTTTAACTTGTATTTTTTCTGTATGCCTTTTAATAGTGTTTTATTTCTTAATAGTGTTTTATCTCTTAAAACATGATGTTGTATCATGCCTCAAGCCACAGGGAGAGGCGGGTAATACAATTATTATTATTATTATTATTATTATTATTATTATTATTTTACTGACACAAAAACACAGTATGATACAGCAAATGAGATATATATGCTGGATTTTGTATCACAGAATCACAAGTCAAACACTTCCCAAGCAATTAAGGACTGTGTGATGATGTTGTTATTGTTGTTGTTATTTGATACACCACAAGATTAGTACACAGCAAATAAGATCACTATGCTGGCTTTTGTATTTGATCCCATGTCGGATACTTCCCAAGTGTCTTAAGACTATGAGATGTATCTGCGAAGTGTGGCCTTTTACAGCTGACAGATGGTGATTTTGTCAGCACCAACTGTGTTTAAGTGCAGGCCAAGGTCTTTAGGCACTGCACCCAGTGTGCCAGTCGCCACTAGGACCACCTTTACTGGCTTGTGCCAAAGTCTTTGCAGTTCGATCTTTAAATCCTCGTATTGTATCAGCTTTTCCAGTTGTTTCTCTTCAATCCTGCTGTCACCTGGGATTGCGACATCGACGATCCATACTTTGTTTTTTAACAAGATTGTGAGGTCAGGAGTATTATGCTCCAAAACTCTGTCTGTCTGAATCCAGAAGTCCCAGAGGAGTTTGGCATGTTCATTCTCTGTAACTTTTTCCGGCTGTTGATCCCACCAGTTCTTTGTCGCAGGCAGATGGTATTTGTGGCACAAGTTCCAATGAATCATCTGAGCAATGGTGTTATGCCTCTGCTTGTTGTCTGTCTGTGTGATCTTCTTGCAGCTGCTGAGGATGTGATCTATTGTTTCATTTGCTTCCTTGCAGAGTCTACACTTGAGTTCTGTTGTCAACTTTTCAATTCTGGCTTTGATGGCATTGCTTCGAATGGCTTGTTCTTGGGCTGCCAGAATCAGGTCCTCCATCTCCTTTTTCAGAGTTCCTTTTGTGAGCCTCAGCCATGTTTTTTCTTTGTCAATTTGGCTCTCAATTTTTTGCCAAAACTATGCATGGAGAGCCTTCTTTTGCCAGTTTTCTCTTCTGCTCTGGATTGTGTTTTTACAATACAACAACAACAACAACAACAACAATAATAATAATAAGAAACACAACAAGATAAATCCACAGCAGGCATTCCTCCTCCTCCTCCTCCTCCTCCTCGTAGTAGTAGTAGTAGTAGTAGTATTTTCATATTGATCTGTATCTCAAATTCAGGAAAGAAATCTCTCCGTAATTCTACTATGGAAGTTCTAGATTTAATATGTTATCATCGCCACATCTCCTGAAACACCTCTATTTTTGTAAATTTGGTGGAGTTTTGGGTGGATTTTGGAATACTTGTATTTTCAAATAATGCATAATATAATGCATAATGAACTATCTTGGAGGTGGATTCAAAACTAAACACAACATTGATTTATCTTATACATATAGACTGAAGGTAGATGTATACACAATGTTTTTTAACAACGTTTTGTATGAAAAAAAGCCCATGTACATGGAATCATCAAAAAGCCAAAGTGTGACCCTCTCAGCCAGCCATGCAGACCATTTTGGAGAATGTTGGAAGGATGCTCAACCTTGTGGCATAATGTAAAATAAACCACGTGTAGTTCACATTTGATCAGCCCACACTCTGCCTTGCCAGAGAAAGAAAACATGCCACACAGATGAATAATAAAGAACAAGTAGTGGGTTGTTGTAGGTTTTTTCGAGCTATATGGCCATGGTCTAGAGGCATTCTCTCCTGACATTTCGCCTGCATCTATGGCAAGCATACTCAGAGGTAGTGAGGTCTGTTGGAAGTAGGAAAAAGGGTTTATATATCTGTGGAATGATCAGGGTGAGACAAAGGACTTTTGTTTGCTGGGGCTAGATGTGAATGTTTCAGCTGATCACCTTGATTAGCATTCAAAGGCTTGGAAGTGCCCGGGGGGAATCCCTTGTTGAGAGTGATTTTATGTGCCTGTTTGTTTCCCCTCTGTTGTTTTGCTGTTGTGATTTTTGAGTCCTTTAATACTGGTAGCCAGATTTTGTTCATTTTCATGGTTTCTTCCTTTCTGTTGAAATTGTTCAGCTGCTTGTGTATTTCAGTGGTTCTCTGTGTAATCTGACATGGTGGTTGTGAGAGTGGTTCAGCATTTCTGTGTTCTCAAATAAAATGCTGTGTCCAGGTTGGTTCATCAGGTGCTCTGCTATGGCTGATGGGCACAGCATTTTATAAACCCTTTTTCCTAGTTCCAATCAACAATACAAAGAACAAGTAGTTTACGCTTTGTAGTTCAGAACGACATATATACAATGTGATCAGTTGCAACAGCTCACATTATGTCCTTTTATGAGAGATTTAAAATGGGTTTTTTGTCCATGTTGGACAAACTTCAGCAGGTCATGAAGTGTGAGCACACACCACACCGTCTCTCTCTCTCTCTCTCCCTTCTTCTATTTTTCTCTCTCAATCCGCATAGCTCAAGCCTGAACAAAAATGCAGCAGTAACCAAAATCCCAGGCTCAGCCTGTTCCGCAGTCATAACCTGACCAATCAGTTTCATGCATCTTATTTTACAGTTGACACACACACATTAGCTGATTTCTCTACATGCGCCAGCAAACCTGTACTGTGAAAGTACTTCTGGTTTAAATGCTTTGTAAAACTCCATCCTAAGGAACTTGGCAAACCCAATCTGGCCTCAGCCATAAATGGCCCCCATGTAGCCGAAGCACTTATTTCTGGATAGTTTACCATTCCAGGACATAAATATTTTTTGATCAAAGGCCCCAGGTCGACAATGAGAGATCCCTGGGGTCCCACAGTTTGCATTTGTGACATTCTTCCATCCGGGCTCTTATTTGTAGAGGCCAAGTGAAGGGCTGTGGTAGAAGCACATGTAGGCATCACAGAGCAGCCGTCGGGCACAAGCAGGCAAGGATTTGGGGTCCAGGCTCCGAAGCTCCTCTGGGGACATTTCTAAGTATTCTGCCACCTCTGAGCAGGGCGTGACGCGTGGGATGTTAAAGCCATTCAGGCCACCTGGAAAAGAGAGTGAGGACGGGATAAACACCGGATCATAGAATCATAATGTTGGACAAGACCTCGTGGGCCATCCAGTCCTACTCCTGTCTGCCAAGAAACAGGAAAATCGCATTCAAAGCATCCCTGACAGATGGCCATCCAGCCTCTGTTTGAAAGCCTCCAAAGAAGGAGCCTCTATCACACTCCAGGGCAGAAAGTTCCATTGCTGAACAGCTCTCACAGTCACGAAGTTCTTCCTAATGTTCAGATGGAATCCCCTTTCTTGTAGTTTGAAGCCAGGGCAGCAGAAAACAGGCTTATATCATGTCTCCTCTCAGCCTTCTCTTCTTCAGGCTAAACATGTCCAGCTCTTTAAGCTGCTCCTCATAGGGCTTGTTCTCCAGACCCTTGATCATTTTAATTGCCCTCCTCTAGACACATTCCAGCTTGTCAACATCTCCCTTCAATTGTGGTGCCCAGAATTGGACACAGAATGAGAAAAGGATAAACGCAGTTATACACTTGATATCTTCCTATTCTGTTTATTTATACCCCACTTTCTCACTGCACAAAGGAGACTCAAAGCAGCTCAAATGAACCGCTTTAACAGAAGAGACTATACCGCCTTGTTAATTTGGATTTAGTAGGGCAGGGTTGTCAAACTCATTTTCATCAAGGGCCATATCTGCCTTATGGTGACCTTCAAAGTGCTGTTGAAACCATGGATGGAGAATCCATGGATACAGAGGGCCAACTTCAATTTTTTTTAACATAATAGTCAGTGCTCTTTACTTTTTGCCCAGTTTGAGTCCCCAAATGGTTTTCAATGACAATTCCAATCAGTTTTGATTATTTGCCATGTAGACTGGGGTTAATGGGAATGGCAACCCAACAGCACTTGTGGCTTTGAGGTTGGGGTAAGGTGAGAGGACATTTTAACGTCAGAAATATTTAAAAATTAACTAAGTATTTTTAATTACAAAAAATATGAGTCAAGCACTGAAACAGGTAAATTGATGTAATGACTCAGCAAAAGCTGCAGTTCTAGATAAGCAGGTGTGTGTCTGTAGCTTAATAGGCCTCTATGTTAGTTTGCCTCAGTGGGAGAAAGGTCTCAGTCTGTGAGGTAGGCCTTAGTCTGTGAGAAGCTTCTGTGAGAGAAGCCTCTGTGTGAGGTAAGCCTCGGTATGAGAAGGCCTCATGTGTGAAGCTGATGTGTGAAGGTTGAACTTTATTTGTGTTATGGAAACCTTATTCTTGTAAATAGTGCAACCATATTATTTTGCTATAAAGAAAAGCGTCCTATGGAAGAGATAACATTGGTCTCTGTGTTTTGTTTTGTTTTGTTTTCACTTTTGGGTACTGGTGCTGGGTCATGCTGCTGCTGATAAGTTATTCTGCTGTAGATTTATGAGGAGGGTCTTTTGTTAATAAGCTTACTCACCCAACGATCATATCCTCCTATGAACCAGCTAGCACATTAAGATCATCTGGGGAGGCCCTGCTCTCAGTCCCGCCTTCAACACAGGCACGCCTGGCGGGGATGAGAGACAGGGCCTTCTCAGTGGTGGCCCCTCGGCTGTGGAACGCCCTTCCTACAGATATTAGATCGGCCCCCTCCCTATTGGCATTTCGGAGAAAAGTGAACACATGGTTGTTCGAGCAGGCATTTGATTAGGCAATGTAATGAATATAGGAATACGGAATAACGGATGATGACATTGGATCTTGACTCTACTGATGAGACGCTAATGATTTGCTATATTGATGCTTAATTGTTTATTATGTTACTGTTTTAACTGTCCTTTAACTGTTTTTATGATGTTTAGCATTGAATTTTTGCTGTTGTTAACCGCTTTGAGTCGCCTAAGGGCTGAGAAAAGCGGTATACAAATAAAGTAAATAAATAAATAAATAAATAAATCCATCAGCCTTGTATCTAAATGCAACCCCTGACTAAACAGAAGAAGCGGTTGCCTTCCAGATATTACGGTATCATAACTCCCATCAGCTCTAGTCATGATGTCTGATGATGAGGAGTACAGGGGTTGTAGTCCACCATATGGAGAGCCACATAAAATGACATGGCAGGCCAATTCAGCCTGCAGTCCTTGAGTTTGACATGTGTACTAAGAGAATGGCCTCAGTGCTGGTGAACTGAGTCAACCAAGGAAATGATAGTCCTGACTTTGCAAGACCTGAGCAATACAGCTGATGACTGAAGTCCTTAGAGGGCTCATAGTCATAGGGATGCCATAAGAAAGTCAACTTGACAATAAAAACACAGGAGCGGACAACCCCCCCATGTTGTTAGTTGACAACTTGCCACACTCCACACCTTTAGTTTGGGGCCAGGTTTGGTAGGCTCTTCAATGGTCCTCCTTACCACACCACAAGTGTTGTGTCATCACTCCCTACAGAGTTCTCTCCATTAAGGAGAGAATGTGTGGTACCTTACCTTCACGGTCAGCCATGCTGTCAAAGAAGAGCCACTGGTGGACATCTGGGCCTTGGCAGGTGAAAGCTACATAGTGGCTGGTCTCAATGCAGAGGACCCCAAAGAGCTGCATGGTCTGCCGGGGGATTATTTCTGGCAGAGACGCGGAATGGGAGAGTTCCTTGGGCAGATGCAGAGTTCGCAGATGGTGGCCACGGCGGGCTCGGTGCTTGTGGACCTGCAGAGCCAACCAAGTGACAGAACAAAAAGATTTTTCCTGGATAGAAAGCCTTCCAAAAGGCCACCACAGACACCACTCTCCCCTTCTCCCCCAAAATCTATATAAATAAAAGTGTAATGTTAGTTTGTGGGATTAACATAACTCAAAAACCACTGGACGAATTGACACCAAATTTGGACACAATACACCTATCAGGCCAATGAGTGACCATCACTCATCAAAACACTGAAGGGACTTAAAAAGTAAAAAAAACCAAAAGATGCTACTGCACATGTGCAAAAATGACTCCCTCAGCAAACAAAATACACAATGGCATATCCACACTCCCTTCTGTACTACAGCTACCAGCATCCCCTAGACCAGTCTCTTTAGGAGAGGAAGATGATCCAAATGCACTGCTTCCAAGATGCAAGCTTTCTTCTCCTTGGATTTCTTTGACAGCATCCCAATCCCTGCATATTTCCAATTTCCTATTCCTGGACTGCAACTCCCAGCAGTCCTTCAGATAGCTAGATTAGATAGAGATAGATAGATAGATCAGGAGGACTGCTGGGAATGCTTGCCATAGATGCAGGTGAAATGTCAGGAGAGAATACTTCTAGAACATGGCTATACAGCCCAAAAAGCCTACGACAACTCAGGACCGCTGGGAGTTGCAGTCCAAGAATAGGTAGAGTAGGAAGAATGGGGAGAAAGAGGAAGGGAAAGAAAGGGGGGAAGGAAGGGAAGAGGAAGAGAAAGAAGGAGAGAAGGAAAGAAAAAAGGAAGGAAGGAAGGAAGGAAGGAGAGAGAAAGAAAGAAAGAAAGAAAGAAAGAAAGAAAGAAAGAAAGAAAGAAAGAAAGAAAGGGAGGGAGGGAGGGAGGGAGGGAAGGTTGGCCACAGCAACGCGTGGCAGGTACAGCTATATATAAACAAAATATCTCTCTCACTTTCCTGATTAGTAATCCTCAATGGATCCACTGGAGTCAAAATGGGTTAAGAAACATCAAAATACAGGTGGCTTTTGCAACCCCTTCCAACTCTAAGAGTTTGGGGTTCTATCAATGCTGGACAGAATCAAGCAGGGTGTTATTAGACTAATGTCTTACAGCCATCCATCCAATTCTATGTTTCCATGTTCAGTGAGGATTCTCCCTTGCGCTAAGAAGCAGAGCCAAACATACCTGCTGACTGCAAACCCTGCAGAACTGTTTGATGCGTCGAATGCCAAAGCTAGGGTCTCCATAGCAATCCAGACACTCATTTACAGCCAATTCTTGGCAGATCGAACACTCCCGAGGGGCTGCAATGGATTAGTGAGACACATTTTTGTTCAATCAAAGAAATGGACAAAAAAAAAGAAGAGTTTGGGAACAAATCAAGCTCAAAACCTCACGAGAAGCCAAAATAAATAAGCTGATGCTGCTGTACTTTAGACAGCTCATGAAAAGAGATGACTCATTGGCTAATGCTCTGTAAATCTCAAGACAATAGGTAATGGAGAAGACCGTATTGCATGTGGACTAAAATGATCAAGGGTCTGGAGAACAAGCTCTATGAGGAGCAGCTTAAAGAGCTGGGCATGTTTAGCCTGAAGAAGGGAAGGCTAAGAGGAGACATGATAGCTGTAGTATTGAGTTTGCAAGATTTGAGTAAAACTGTGGATGACGGCAGCTATTTGAGGTCTCTCATCCATTTGGGCAAGCCTTCAAGTCATCCAAATGCTTCTGGAACATTGTCATACAGCCCAGAAAACTCACAGCAACCCATCTTATGGTGACTTTATTAATTTCATAATTCTTAGACAAGAAATACTGGTTTTCCCAGTTATCTCTTCTGAAACACAGCCTCCAGTATTTGGTATTTGTTGGCTGTTTCTCCTCCTGCTTAGCTTCCAAGACCTGATCTGGTGCCGTTAGGGCAGTGTGTCTCAACCTTCCTAATGCCGCGACCCCTTAACACAGTTCCTCGTGTGTTGGTGACCTCCAACCATGACATTATTTTCATTGCATCTTCATAACTGTAATTTTGCTACTGTTATGATTTGTAATGCAAACATCTGAGATGAAGGATGTATTTTCATTCACTGAACCAAATTTGGCACAAATACATGATACACCCAAATCTGAATAATGGTGGGGTTGGGGGGGATTGATTTTGTCATTTGGGAGTTGTAGTTGCTGGAATTTATTGTATAGAGCATTCTTAACTCCACCAATGATGGAATTGAACCAAACTTGGCACACAGAACACCCATGACAAGCAGAAAATACTGGAGGGGTTTGGTGGGCATAGACCTTTGGTTTTGGAGTTGTAGCTCACCTATATTCAGAGAGCACTGTGGACTCAAACAAGGATGGATCTGGACCAAACTTGGCACGAATACTCAATATGCCCAAATATATGCCACTGGTGGCGTTTGAGGGAAAAATAGACATGACATATGGGAGTTGTAGTTGCTGGGATTTATAGTTCAATCAAAGAGCATCCTGAACCCCACCAATGATAAAATTGGGCCAAATTTCCCACACAGAACCCTCATGACCAAAATAAAATATTGTGTTTACTGATAGTCTTTGGTGACCCTTTTGACACCCCGTCACAACCCCCCCAGGGGTCCCAACCCTCAGGTTGAGAAATGCTGCTTTAGGGTATGTAGTAGCTGTAAGTCAAGACTAAACTGATGGCAAAGAAACAGAGGTCTGGAGCAAGGAGAGGAATGACCATGGACAACCTGAAAGCACTTGCTTTCCTTCCAGGAGAGGTGGAGATAGAAGGTTTTGCAAATTAAGTCTAATTTCTCATTCCTTTCTCAATATCCTTCTAGTCAACTCCCTCTGTGCGACCCCAAATGAAATATCAATGGCTTTCCCCTCTTTTGGTTTCATCCCTTACTTTCTTCTAGGAGGTCAGTGAGGTCAAGTTCCAGGCTGGGCTGAATGGTGCGGAAGGCCTTGAAGTTCTTTCCATTCCGTGGCATCTGGAGGATGAGGCAGGAAGGGGCCTACCAAAGACGTAAGCAAGAAGTGAGGTAGGAGAATGGATAAGGTTATGATGGAGGGGGCCTCCTCCATAAGCGCATCCCTTTCAGAATATTTCAGATCTTCTACGTTCCCCAGAGCTCTTCATAAAATGGCATTCGGAGGTGACACGAAATCACTCCAGACTGAGAATTCAGATGAAGATAGAAATGCTTTAGAAAATGAAGGAAGGGGAATTGGAGGGTGGAAAAGAAATGTTGCACCCATGTCCTCATCAATGACACCAGCTAATGTGACCACAGTTCCAGGTTTAGGGTTGCCCTTGCAGTATGTCATGTTGGCTTAGTTCACTTCCATTGAGAAGGAAATGGGTCAACAAAGTCTTCTACAAGGGACTAACAAGATTGGGATCCCCAAAGTCCCTTCCCTGTCTGAACGTATCTCCCTCTATGAACTATCTCGGAGGTTAAGATTGTCCGGGGGGAGGCCCTGCTCTCAATCCCACCCCCCTCGCAAGTGCAATTTGTGGGGACGAGAGACAGGACCTTCTCAGTGGTGGCCTCTCGGCTGTGGAACTCCTCCCCAGGGGAATTAGATCAGTCCCCTCCCTCCAGACCAAGCATTTGCACAGTGATTTCTAGCACAACAATCGATGTTTCAGAGCAATAATGAACAATACAATGACAATTGGAATGGCTCCTGGTATATGTTTTTGGACTGCATAATTTTAAAAAATAAATAATTGTTTAATTGATATGTTTTAACTATGTGATTTTAAATTATATATATATATATATATATATATATATATATATATATATATATATAATTTTATATGTATTCAAGGCACCAAATTGTGTCTTTGTAGTAAGCCACCCTGAGTTCCCTTTGGGGTGAGAAGGGCATGATATAAATGAGGTAAATAAATAAATAAACAGAAAAATATTTTTAATATAAAATTACACATAAGGACAAATATGATTAGGAACATGGGCTTCAACCCTCTTATCCTCCAGTGCCAAGCAGACAATTTTGGCTGGTTCAGCAGCTATTCCATAACACACTGTTTCTCAAACTGTGGGTCCCAGCCCCAAATAGGGTTGTAGTAACTGAAAATGGGAGCAGTGAAAAATTGTCAGCAATGTATTGTCGAAGGCTTTCGTGGCCGGAATCACTGGGTTGTTGTAGGTTTTTTGGGTTGTATGGCCATGTTCTAGAAGCATTCTCTCCTGACGTTTCACCTGCATCTATGGCAGGCATTTTCAGAGGTTGTGAGGTCTGTTGGAAAGTCCACCCTGGATTTTCCACAGTTATATAAACCCAATTTTCCTAGTTTCCAACAGACCTCACAACCTCTAAGGATGCCTGCCATAGATGCAGGCGAAATGTCAGGAGGGAATACTTATAGAACATGGCCATACAGCCAGAAAAACCTACAAAACCCCATTGTCAACAATTTAAAAACATTCTGAATGCCACCTAGTGGCTGTTTTACTCATTTACACTAATCTGTTAGCAACAAAGAGCAGTATTTACAGTGGACTTTGCAGAAAATGCTTCAGCTGTACTTTGTAAAAAATGAAAATCAGCTTGTTTAGCTAACTTTACATCCACTGATCTATTAGCAGTAAAGGATTACTTTTTGTATCTATTTTATATACTTATATAACCGAGATTGCACGGCAGAAAGAGGTCGAAAGGGGTGGAAAAGATTTGAGAAGTCCTGCCTTTTGCAGGGCAGCTAAGGAACATGGCCGCATGCCACCATTGCTACCAACTTGTCATTTCTGACTCTCACCTCTGTGAACTTGAGGTCTCCAGTGACCAAAGACCCCTCCAGAAGCTCTTGCACTGTGGGCACCACTTGAGGTGGGTGGTCCTCAACAAAGATTTGGTAAAAGATGCAGCCGTGGGGATCTTTACCAGCCGAGCTGGGAGGAAAGGGGAAAGAAGGGACAACATCACAGAAACTAGGTAAGTGGCAAAGGGAGAGTGAAGGAGATCTGTGAACACATGTAACTAAGTTATACTAAGTTTCAAATTCATTTTTAGTTCTACACTCTCCTGAACACATAAATACATATTATTATTATTATTATTATTATTATTATTATTATTATTAAACTCATTAATTTATTAAAACAATGCTAAACTTTGATTCACTTTTTCATGCCCTTCAATATGGCTAACTTTGCAAAACTGCGATGAAAACAATGCAAACTCCTCTGAAAGTTGCCAAAAGGAAGAAAACAACAGAGGACTGCTCATTAAAATTAATCATCCAATTAAAATGTCTTAAGACACTAGAGGGTTTGGAGGTGGCAGCAAAACATTTGCAGTGTTGATACCGGTCTCCTCTCCACGGGGATTCCCGTAATTGCGCCTTTCCCATGTGGACACAGAGAACACCTGCGGTGATCTTTAATTATTTCTGTTTTGTGCACCTCCCCCAACACCATAACTTTAGCATCAAACTGCACATTACTCTTTGTGAAAGTTTCTAGTTTTTATGGTCACAAAGAAAAGCTTGAAACTGTGCTGACAAAATAGACAGGTAGATATCGCACTGATTCCACCTCTTATGTACAAATTGAAAATTTTATTCCATAATTAACATGGTCTTGAATTGTGAAATGATCTGTTTTGTTTTTGCTTGGACTGAACACAAAATCCTATACAGTATGACTCTTATACCCACAGTTTATATTCTCTTTAGGAATTTTCTAAGTCCTTCAGGTGATTCTGTCAGATATCACCCTAGAGCAGTGGTTCCCAACCTGTGGTCCATTGACCACCAATAGTCAGTGGCCTCACTGTTACTACACCATTGCAACAAGAGTGACTGGTCTTGCAAATCCCTCTTATAGTGCTGRGGCTTATTAAATATAGTTTTCTATATTGTGAGCAGATGGTGACTACTAGATGGCATATGTTCTGTATCAGAAACTAGAGCTGATGTGGTCTATCCAATGCAATTTTCTGATTCGGCACCCCAAATAGCCAAACCGAATCTAAAGTTAATCAAAAATCTATTCGGAACCCTTTTGATACTATTGTTGGAAAGTGGTCCCTGGTCAATAAAAGGTTGGGAACCACTGCCCTAGAGTTACCTGGGAGGACCTAAAATTCCTAATATAGCATTACACAAGTTGGTCTCAAAGGTGCTCCATAATGTCTTTAGGCTAAAACAGCCTCTCTCTCTGAATACAATCCTTTCTAAACATCAAGGGGCAAAGGAACTCTAAGCTCACCGGATCTGAAAGAGAGGCTCCATTTTCAGTACCCGGAATAAAAGGGTAAGAAATTCCTCTGGGTCTACAAAGGAAAAGGGGAGACAAAATGCTGTACTTAATACTGTAACATGAATAATAATAATAATGATAATAATAATAATAATAATAATAATAATAATAATAATAATAATATCCTGCCACCATCTCCCCAAAGAACTCCAGGGTGCACATATAACATACAATTGTTAAAAAACAGTATACATATTTTCTCTACAGCTGTGGATTAGGTAAAGGTAAAGGTTTTCCCCTGACATTAAGTCCAGTCGTATCCAACTCTGGGGGTTGGTGCTCATTTCCATTTCTAAACCAAAGAGCTGGCATTGTCCATAGACACCTCCAAGGTCATGTGGCATGGAGTGCCGTTACCTTCCCGCCGGAGCGGTACCTATTGATCTACTCACATTTGCATGTTTTTGAACTGCTAGGTTGGCAGAAGCTGGGGCTAACAGCAGGAGCTCACCCTGCTCCCTAGATTCGAACCTGCAACCTTTCGATCAGCAAGTTCAGCAGTTCAGCGTTTTAACCTACTGCGCCACCAGGGGCCCTGTAAATCCCAGGATTCATTAGGATGGGTTCATGATAATTAAAATTGTATGAAACTGATAGAACGGTGTGGTGCATCTTTAGTCAAACCTGGGGCAGCCCCAAGACTACAAGTAAATGTCTGCTAAGTCATGTGGGTGATGCCATGGTTTCAACACATCTCATTTTCCTCCCTTATAGTAGTCAAAACTGCTTGCATACCTCATGCTTGAACATAGACAGAATTCACAAACCTTTTTCCTCGCTGGTGAAGCCTGAGGAATGTCCAGCTTTTTCCAAAGCCTTCCGTAGAGCCATGATTTTGGTAGCACAGACATACCCGTTCCTATTCCCACCGTAAACAAAAACAAACAATGAATGTGTGTTCACTAAGTTTACATTTTCAAAAGTAACCTACTCCCCCACAAGTATCATCATATTCTTTATTTATATCCCACCTTTCTCCCCATAGGGACTCAAGGTGCCTAACAACAATTTAAAATAAATACAAAAATAAATAAATAAATATTTGTGCATAGTTAAAGAGGTAAAATACAATTAATACAATTCAAATTACCTTTAAAACTCAAACTACCCCCCAGGCCCGTAGCCAGGATTTCGTTTTGGGGGGGGTGGGTGTGTGAATTTTTTTCAGGGGGGGTTTGGGGGGGCTGAGTTTCGGGGGGGGCTGAGTCTGAGTGAAAGAGGGTCTAGCCTAGCAAACCTTTTGTATCATTACCCCAATACCCCCATGCATATGGGATATATTGAGTATGGTGATCAGATCATGATATGAATAAACATAACAGTTTAAATAATGCACCAGTAAGGCCTTTTTGCGAACCACCATGTGAATTTCGGGGGGAGGGGGCTGAAGCCCCCCGAGCCACCCCTGGCTACATGCCTGCACCCTCCCAAAAAAGCACCCCACACAATTTCATGTATTTTAAAGTTGCATGTACAGTATTTTAAAATATGGCATAGAGATGCCCATTTAGTCTGGTTATTTGTGAAGACATCAAGAGACAAATGGGATGATCAACAGTGTAAATCAGAGCTTTCCAAACTGTGTGTCGTGATACATTAGTGTTTTGTTTTTTTGGTCGTGTCAGGAGCAAGTCGCTTCTGGTGTGAGAGAATTGGCCATCTGCAAGGACGTTGCCCAGGGGACGCCTGGATGATATGACGTTTTTATCATCCTTGTGGGAGGCTTCTCTCATGTCCCCGCATGAGGAGCATGATAGAGGGAGCTCATCCACCTCTCCCCGGATTTGCACCTGCAACTTGTCGGTCTTCAGTCCTGCCGGCACAGGGGTTTAACCCACTGCGCCACCGGGGGCTCCATACATTAGTGTGTCAGTTGCATTGTGCCACACAAACATAATGAGAAACAACTAACATATTGGAGATGCTAAAATGTGTTGGATGGTCTTGGGCTTGTCACGCACTCTCAGCATCCATGGAAGGTCAAAACAAATGGCCTCTGAACAAATCTTGCCATGAGAACCTTGTGATAGGCATGCTTTAGAGTCAAGATAAGTCAGAAATGAAGACACACAACACAGTTGGCAGTATATAATGGTTAGTTGTGTGAAAATTTAATATAGTACAGTCTCAGTATTGCATGGGTTGAAACAATAGAGGTGTATAGAGTCCCACATTTGGAGTTTCCTGGGCAAACCAGAAAAGAATGGACAATGTGCTCCATGCAGTGCGCAAAGATGTGAACGGATATGACCAGAGAATGTGCTGTACATATTTTTGCAAATAAAGCAAGAGTGGCACTTTCGTTGAAAGCTTGAGTTGATGAGTTTGGGGTTTATTTGACTTTGTGCCTTCAAGAAGTTCCTTGCAAGGTCAAAGCAGCTGAGATAAGAACGGGAGATTTACCTCAACTTTTCTAACAAAGTAGCCAGATGTTTTAGCACAGAGAAGAGAAGATACCAACTCACTTGCGCAAAGGGTTGACTATCTCTGTTCGGAGCAGATCTCGCGTCTCAGTGTAAGATTCCCCATCGTTCTTGTCTGCCGGGCGTAGGAGCATTGAATCCAGCACAGAGGTAAAAGTGAACATACTATAAACAGAAAAAGGAACACTGATGTTAGGATGTCTATGTTTGTTCAGTTCTGAGGTTTAGCTTCTCAGTAACATGTTCCCCAAAACTTGCCATCAGCCACAGAAACCCTTTCGAACAATTAGGATTTTCTCTCAGTTCTTGTGGGTTTTTTCGGGCTATATGGCCATGTTCTAGAGGCATTTCTCCTGACGTTTTGCCTGCTGGGCACCAAAAATGGGGATCACAAGGTCATATTGCTGCTTTCTGAAGACTGAAAAGTGGTCCATATTCCACTATCCTGGTCTAATGGAAAGATTAGCATTGTTAGCAACACATTCCCCTCTCTTTTAGCTGGTTTTCCAGTATCTTATATCTGGGCCTCTTGGGATCAAGCTGGGAATTGTCATACACCAGATCAGGAAGACCTCTGATCTTAAACATCACACCAGCTTGGTATAATCAGCAAGCAGTAAATGTAGTAGGCAAAGCAGCAAAAATAGCAAGAACAGTAAAGGTCCAATATATAAAATACTTCGTAAGCTTCAAGGGAAAACAAGATCCAAAGGTACATAAAAATCCATGAAACTAGGCACTTGAATCCATGAAACTAGATAGTAGGAAACATCTCATACACAAAACTGGAACTTGGCAAAAAAATCTTAGTACATGAAATTAAAAGCACTTGAAAGCAAGACCGTGATTAAATCCCAACTCTTTTCCATGAATCAATATAAGGCTTTTTCAGATTCCAAAACTGAAAGGAAAGTATTTCTCTTGACCTTACTATCAGATAAAGGTTTGTTATCTCTCTTTGCCTATAAACCAGCGTCTTAGTCTCTGAAGACTCTGTCTCTATTTACAAAAACTTTGCTTTCTATCTAAACTCTCATTATCTTCTCTCTCATTAACTTCTGCACCTGACAAATCATCTTCAGATAGTTGCCCTGAGAAAAGCTGTGAAGGGCCTCTCTCAAGAATGTAGCCTTGCAAATCTTCCTGAAACAGCTCAGGCCTATTGTCTCAGCTTAACTCAGGCCCAAGCAAACTCTCATCCTAAATGCCAACAGACCCAGGCCCACCATCAGGGACATCATCCCCATTCCCGACATGAACGTCAGACACAATCACAGGCTGAAAAGGCCGACATACAACAGGAATAAAAGATAAACAATGTATTGTCTTAGGAGTCGCAAAGGGCAGCCTTACCAGAAAAGAGTGGCATCCAGATAGCAGGAATTGCAATGCCCCTGAATGCCCTTCTTCCATCCTGAGAGATGCTCCATGGCCTCATCACCCAGTGGAGGTGGAGGTGTGTCTTCTTCCACTCGCGCACTGGCATAGACACGGAAATCTGTGTAAGGAGAAGGGAGCAAAATGATGCAGGATAGGGATGGAACCACTTGGCTTCCACTTTGATGTCCATGTGGATCCACCCCTTACAGATGTCACTGAACTACAATAGCCATCATCCTTCACCAATGAACACCAAGGTGGTTGGGGTGGGTGGCATGTGCCTCTCAATAACATCGAGAGGACCACATGTTTCTCAACCCCTGGAAGAGAATATGGCAGTTTCATTTCCCAAGTTATGCATCAGCCAATCTTGCAATCCAGTTTGGGAATCATTGTGAAAAATAGAAGAAAGTAACTTGTGGCTGTCAAAATAATATTAGCTATCAGCACTGAACAATATTATGCCCTTGTTTAACAATATGCCCTTGCTTCACCCCAGAATAACACATGAAAGATTTTTTTTGTTGTGTCAGGAGTGACTCCTGGTGTGAGAGAATTGGCCGTCTGCAAGGACGTTGCCCAGGGGACGCCTGGATGATTTTGATGTTTTTATCATCCTTGTGGGAGGCTTCTCTCATGTCCCTGCATGAGGAGCTGGAGCTGATAGAAGGAGCTCATCCGCCTCTCCCCGGATTCGAACCTGCGACCTGTCGATCTTCAATCCTGCCGGCACAGGGGTTAAACCCACTGCGCCACTGGGGGCTTCCCCATGAAAGATAATAACATTACACTTGGTCCTACACATTTGTGGGTTTCACTTGGATGAATTGATTACATAGGCCAACACAAATTTTGGTGCCTCAAATGTTATACCTGTTTCTGGGAATATTTGACTTGCTGGTTGCAAAAATGACACCGGTTTCCCCCTATCCGCTCTAGTTTTTGAGATACAAAACATATGCCATCTACCAGTTGTCATCTGCTTGTCTACAGAAAACCATGATAATCATATCTAAGAAACTAGAGCTCTGGTTTAGAACTTACCCAGGGAGTTGCATCGCAAAACAGGATTCTCTAGCTGCTGCAGAGCGCCGAATCTGGAATCAGGGCGACAACGCCGTAGCTTGACAAACAGGGCTTTGTTTGGCTGGCAGTGGAAATAGCGGACCCCTCGATATTGCCCATCGGTACAGCCGGAAGATAGTGGCTCCTCCTGGAAGTGTAGAAGGCACGTTGCATTGGCGATATGCTATAAAGTCTGCACCCCCTAACCTGAAGTTGAAGCTGCCTTGCCTATTTGAAGGCTTGGATGGGGAAATGGCAGTGGGAAGGGAAAGAGAAAGAAGGGATAACAACAGGCAAGCAGCGGCCCATCCAACATCCGGGTAATGCTTGACATATACACTAGTTATGAGAAATTTGCTTACATATTGTATCATTTACCATCACTATTATCACTGCAGAAGGCAGATTGGAGGCAAGTCAACTCTTTCCTCATGTACTGTGAACCGGGGAGAAACACCTTTTCTGAATTTGCTTTGTGAGGCTGAATGTTCCACTGTTCCATATTGGCAGAAAGCCATATGGAAATACAGAACAGTAAGATATCTCCAATTCATCTAGCTGTGATGAGAAGCTGAGCATATCCAACATTTTCTCATTCTTACCAGCTCCAGCCCAGCAATGGTCTCAGCTACATCAGGTGGCTTCCCGATCCAGCGGATCACCCCATAGATTGGTGGATTGTTAACCTCCACCACAGAGTTGATCTCTAGGAGATGGTGGTTATACTGCTCATCACTGTCATCATCATCATCCTCTTCCTCCACCTCTTCCTCTTCATCTTCATTCTGTTTCAGCTCTAAAGTTCCTACTTCTTTCTTCTTGGAGCCCCGTGGATCATCAGAAGGCGCTCCTCTTGGGATTTCCTTTGGAGAACACTCCTCCATCCTGGGAGGGTAACGGATGGATGACAAGGACAAGCAATCCTCATATTCCTCTGAAATGGATGAGGGTGAATGGTTGGCCAATATCTCAGGACTTCTATCGACTTGTTCTTCAGGTAGGCATAGATGGTAGGAGGAAGAGGAGGGATACATATGAGATATTGCAACAATACAGAACAATAACACCCCTGAAAACATGGTACTCATATCGACAGTTTCATCTGTGCCCGGAAAAACAATATCTCTAAGAACTTGCTAAGTGCTCCAAGTAATTCTATGGTAAACCTCACTGAGAAGTGACCCCATAAGAATTATATCTGCCAAAACAGAATTAATTTTGTCCCAATCTGACAAAAATGTGGTGAAATTGCCAAAGATGGGGGACATGTATACCAAATTTACTTTAGAATTTGGGGGTACTGAAAAATGAGTTTTGGAAATTCCATAACCTATTGGAAATAAGTGCACCATAACCTTATTGAAAAGGTAAAAATTATGTCGCATCCAATCTATTGTTGAAGGCTTTCATATCCAGAATCACTGGGTTGTTGTAGGTTTTTCGGGCTGCATGGCCATATTCTAGAAGCATTTTCTCCTGACGTTTCACTTGCATCTATGCCAGGCATCCCCAGAGGTTGTGAGGATGCCTGCCATAGATGCAGGTGAAACATCAGGAGAGAATGCTTCTAGAACATGGCCATACAGTCCAAAACACCTATAACAACCCTATGTTGTATCTGTTTGGCAAATGTGAATTTCCATGAACATAGAGACCACCTTTTGAAAACCACTAGTCAAGAAAAGTATGATCTTGTTAGAAGTCGACCCTTTGAACAAGTGATATTCACAAGCATTCATGTAATGGCGCACAGGTAACTCAGCTGTTAAACTGAAGAAACATGTCTTTAAACTGCCAAGGATAAAGACATGCCACTACAAAATATATTTGGTGAGCAGAGGATGGCTGTTTCGTTGAAGTTGTAATTGCAGTTGTAATTGCAGTTGCCCAAAAGCTATACATTCCCTTGAAACCTCTTAGTTAAATTATGCACTCAGAGATAAAAAAACAAATAGTCTTCTATAAAATAACAAATTTCTTATATATATTCAGCATACCAGTTCATAGTCCAATATCTTTAAGTCCAAACTGTATAATTGTATTTACTGAAGTCTGGAAAGAGACAAACTGCAATCTACCTCCATTGAGGTCTGAAAGCATACTGTATAACAAAAATGGAGTCCTCTGAAACCCCTTCCACACCAAAGAGGTACAGTCAAACTGACAAACCAAAATGTGCATACAATATAGGTTAACAATTATACACATTTACAAACAGTGGAGGCTTGGAAGGTTGCTTTTTCCAACAATGAGGGGATCTCAAATTCCTCCCCACCTCAATGAAAGCATTAACACAAAGGGGCATCACTGTTTTTGGAAAGGCATGACCTTTTAGAGATCATAACCTTTTGGAAAACCAGGAATCTCCATAGCCTTTTGGAGGCGTGACCCTTTTGGAGAATAATTGGCATTCACACTATTTGGAATAACCATAACCCTTTTGTAAAGTATGATCTTCCTAAGAAGAGTTAAATACTTGTTTGAGTGAATCTTCTCCTTAGTGGTGAATATTCATTAGTATTCATGCAAGGCAAATTAGGTTTCTCAGCTGTTAGACCGATATACCTGGTTATCTCTCTGAACTGTTAGGAACAAAGATATGCCAGTGCACAAAATATATAGCAGACCTTCAGAAGTGTTATTTCAGTTCCCCCCAAAAAACTACTCTCCATAAAATATATTGGTTTTTAAATCATGCTCTCAAGAGACCAAAAATAAGTAGTTTCGTTAAAAGTAACATAGTTACAAACTTCATGTATTACAGTATACAGGTACATTTCTAATTGGTTGATAGTTTAAACCTATCAACCAAAACATTCTGTTTTAGTCTCTTCTTTATTGCATACAAACTAACACTCTCTTCGGTCTAATAATATGAGGGGTGTTCATTAAAGATTTCCCCTGACCCACTTCCTGTGGACAGAGAGCAATGAAACTTGGCACAGTTATTAGTTCTTCTCTCCATCGGTGCGACCTAGGGACACACACTTCTCCCACCTTTTTATGCAACCGGTGGTGGCCCCCCGGTTGTGGAACACCCTCCCTACGGAAGTTAGACAGGCGCCCTCTTTGATGGCCTTTCGTAGGAGCCTGAAAACTTGGCTCTGCGAGCAGGCCTTCAACTAAGTGTATCTGTGGAACGACGTTAGAATGGACTACGACTACGAACCTGGCTATGACCCTAGGATTAGACGAAGCGGATTTTTAGTATAAGTATATGTCGTAGTAGTAGTTTGTTATGTATTGTTATGATTTTTGTATGCTGTCTTTCTATGTTGCTGTTCACCGCCACGAGTCGCCCCTAGGGCTGAGAGTGGCGGTCAATAAGTACAAGAAATAAATAAATAAATAATAAATAAATAACTGTAATCACCTCGCTTGTAGAAGTCAACAGGTTGCTCCAAAAAACATGTTGTGACTTTGGAAATCAGAGTCTCATCATCTGAAAAATGCTTGCCCTTAAAAAATAACTTCACTGTTGGAAAGAGGTAGAAGTCCAATAGTGCGAGGTCAGGTGAATAAGGGAAATGCGGTAGAATTTAACACAATGAAAGCTTTAACACAATGGGGCATCACTGTTTTTGGAAAAGCATGACCTTTTAGAAGTCATAACCTTTTGGAAAACCAGGAATCTCCATAGTCTTTTGGAGGCGTGACCCTCCAAAAGGAGCATACTTCCATTTGGGTGACATGTAAGTTGTGAACTTGTGCATTGTCTTGCAGAAGGTGGACACCTTTAATGACCATGCCACGTCTCTTGGTTTTGATGGCCTCCCGCAATTTCCATAGCAGTGAATCATGTATGCCCCAGTGATCATGGTCTCCTTTGCTAGGAATATCCATCAATATGACTGTGCTGGTCCCAAAATACTGTGAGCATGACTTAGCCTGCTGAGAGTTGTGCATGTGCCTTCTTTGGAGAGGGTGAGTCACGATGCTTCAATTGCATCGACTGGAATTTAGTCTCAGAATCATAGTGATGGACTCAGCTTTCACCCTGTCTGATCAGTCTGTTGAAAAAGTCCTCCTGGTTTTCATGGCACGTCATCAATAAAGCCTGAGAGCATTCGACTCGTTCCTGCTTCTAGAAAGGTGTAAGCAACCTGGGGGATCTAGTGAGCAGATACCTTATGGATGTGAATATGGTCTTAGATTATTTTTTTCCATTGACCCCACACTAATATTGACATTTTGAACTAGGTGGTAAATAGTTACACAGCGATTTTCCAAAATGGCGACCTCCACTTGCTGGATGGTGTGTTCATCAATAACAGTGGGGTTGCGCTGGAACTGGAGCTGTTTGCACCAAAGTCCAACCACATTTGAATGGACAATGCCAGTTCTTGACTACATCATATGATGGGAATCATCATAGTAAGCAATTTGAATTATATACACACAAATAACTAGTATAGAAGGCTTATAGAAGGTTGCTATTTCCAACAAGTGTTGTACAGCTGGACAAGCAATGAAACAAAACATGGTATAATCAAGCATGGTGCAAGAAAAATCCCAGTATCTGATCATTTGGGGATAAATGGGGAAAGTCATAAGTGAAATGCACATCTTGAACTTGTCCCAGATATTTTGCCATAGCTAATTTACTTCACTGTTTTAGGAAAAGGGTTCACAACCAATGTACACATGCCTCTCTATTCAAATGCAAACTCAATAATAATAATAATAAAATTGTGTGATATATACATGTGACCATAATGTTTAACAAGCAAAACCCTGAATGGCTTCTCCAGAACTGCAGACATGACAGGGCTCACCTTTAAATACTTTAGAAATTGGAAGAAGCATCCCAAACTCTGGAGACGGCATACGATAGAGGACATGGTCTTTGAAGCGACCATCCCATGAACCCACCGGTTTGTCCTAGAAGGAAAATGCAAAGGTGGCTTGTAATTCTACAGTGTGGGTTCTTGGCATGGGGAGGAGAGGTGGTAATCATCTCTCCTTACATAAGAGTGCTTGGTTTGACAGGGAATAGTAGGGACAGACCTTAAAGTGTTCCAACCCAACACGAAATGAGACAGTGGCCGCTTACTGTCTATACTCCTGTCTATACTAACCCCCCCCCCAAAAAAAAACAAAAAACAAACCTGGGTCAACTTACCCATGCCAATTTAGGTACTGGATTTAGGTACTCTTATTTTATAAAGGAACCATCTCTTTCCCAAAGTGGCAAAAGGCAATAACTTTTGGTCTATCTCAGGAGAACTTAAAAGAAGAACCAATATCTACTTCTGGCATTTTTGAATGTCTGGAGGAGAAATGATGACAACGGTGTCCACCTGAAGCCGCACTTCAGCTTTCCCTTTTTTGCAGAATGACCTCAGACATATCCATGAGTTGTGGCAAATTCCATAATTTTAGCTTCCAAAATTGCCCTAAACTTATGCATGTTATTGACTTATACATGAGGCCATACAGCATCTTAAATTGGGACAGACAGACTCCAAACCATGGAGAGCCATTTGAGCTCAGACTCACAGCAGTGGGTCTAGCATTGTCCAACAAAAATAGTGTAGTTGTCTGGAATGTATTACTGGTTACTATTAATTTATTAATGGCCCAGTCTATGAGTTTGGATTATGTTATTTTAATGTTTTTGTTATGTGTTTTTAATTTTTATGCTTTCATGTTTAAATGTCCTTTTATCTTAGCATTAATTGTCTTATTGGATTTATGCAGAGTTATGTGTTGTTTAGATTTATGATTTGGTTTTTATGTACCCTGTTTCCCTGAAAATAAGACAGCGTCTTATATAAATATTTGCTCCCAAAGATGTGCTAGGTCTTATTTTCAGGGATTGTCAGAAACCAGCATAACCAGACAAACGGTGAATCCTATCAATAATTTCTTGTTACTGCCATTATTTCACGCACAACACACTGTCTGGAGACTGTAACGATCTCTGACAGCAGTTCCTGGACCACTTGTACAGAAGGGACGGTATTGCAACTTCCAGCCACCAGGGGAAGCTAGGTCTTACTTTCGGGAGAGGCCTTCTATTTAGCAATTCAGCAAAACCTCTACTAGGTCCTATTTTCAGGGGATGTCTTATTTTCAGGGAAGCAGGATATGTAAGGCTGCTGCTTAGGCCCCATGCGACGTTGAAACAAGAGGCTCAGGCAGTGAAGAGGAGGAGGATGAGGAAGGTAAGGAGGGCGAGGGGAGAGCTGCCCCCTCACCCTCCTTACCTTCCTTTTCCTCCTACTCATCACTGCATAGGGCCTCTTGCTGTCGCTTAGGCCCCGCGACTGAGGAGGCGTTGTGGGGCCCAAGCGGCAACAAGAGGCCCCATGTGGTGACGAGGAGGAAGAGGAAGGTAAGGAGGGCAAGAAGGGAAGGTCAGGGGGCATCCCTACTTTACAGAATTTCACTTATCGCAGGTGGTCCTGGAATGTAACACCCGCAATAAGTGATGGATCACTGTACTTCGTCTTGGGAAGAATACTGACAACAGTTACCAAGGGAATGTCCATGCAAATAAACAGTGCAAATAAGAATTCTAGGCATGAATAATTTTCAGTGTCTCACTTCTTCAAATACTAGAAAATTTGGAAATGTTTGTTCTGGGGAAAGAATTCGAATGGGGAGGACAATACTCCTACTTGTATTGCTTCATATCCATAGCTGCACTACTCTTCTTACCAAAAGAATCCCCACGAAGACCCCGGTTTCCAATTTCTTGGGAAGATGGTCACAGTACACCACAGTGCCGGTAGGGGTGCTGTCTTCCATCCTGAAGTAAACACGGTCCCCAATCTCCAACCCTGGAGAGGACAAGGGGTCTCCTGATGTCAGTTGGATTCGAGCGCATTCCCGGATCCGGTCTCTCAGAGGCGCTGGTGGGCTGCCCTCCGGCGAGTCGTCTGGCTCAATTCGATTGGCAGGCACAAAGACGCCACAGTTTTCCCGGCAAGAGAAGAACTTCTGGCCTTTGAAGGAACCATCAGTGAAGCCTCCCCCAGCAGCAGAACCCTACAATGAAGGAAAAGTAGAATTTAAAGGTGTGGAATTCTTATTTTAGGGTGCATATTCTAGATTACAGAATTAATGCAGTTTGACGCCACTTTCTTTATCGTAGGGTGCATATATTATACTATAGAATTAATGCAGTTTGACACCACTTTAGTTGCCATGGCTCAATGATATGGAATCATTGGGTGTGATGTTTGGCGGGCTACCAGCACACTTTAGCTAAAGATCTTGTAAAACTGCAACTGCCATGATTTCATAGCACTGAGCCATAGCAGTTAAAAACATCTCAAACTGCATTAACTCTGCAGTGTAGATGCATCTTATGGGTCTGGAGACCAGGTTCAAAACCCCACTCTGTCACAGAAACCTGTTAAGTATCTTTGGACAAATCACAACCTCTCACAATGGATAATTCTGTATTTCTTCAGTTTAAAGATGCCATTGATTATATAACACACAACAATTTCAGTACCACCAACAGGAAAAAGGCCATGTATGTTTGTATGTGTGTGTGTGTGTATGTATATCTATATGTATGTGTGTGTATATATATTTGAATGAGAATGATCCACAATTATAAGACACAGCCCATAAAAGATGTTTTTATGGAGGGAAAGCACATCATAGGCGGGATCACTGCTCTATATCCCAGGATCTGATCCCAGATTATCTGCTTTGACCTGGATTATATGAGTCTACACTGCCAGATAATCTGGGATAACCAGATAATCTGGGATCAGTTTCTGGTATGTAGGGCAGGGGTAGATCCAGCCTTAGAATCAAAGAAATACAATATTCAAATAGCAATAGGATATTTCAGGCACCAACAATGCTCCATTGCTAGTGGTGTCCAACTGCATTAATTCTACAGTGGAGAAGCACTCTTACACCCACCCACAATCCATTCTATTCTCCTAGTAAACCTTCAAGGTAGGTTAGACTGGGACCCCTTTTACACTTTTACACTGCCATATAAAATCCAGATTATTTGCTTTGAACTGGATTATCTGGCAGTATAGACTCAGATAACCCAGTTCAAAGCGGATAATCTGGATTATTTGTCTTCATAATCTGGATTATAAGGCAGTGTAGAAGGAGCCTGAGCCACCCAACAACATTTGCACACAGTGATATCTGCCAGTGAGCAGAGAGGTCCTCTTCTCATAAGAACTCACCACAAGTTCCACCCCAAAGATGACACTCGTATCATGCTTGCTCTTGTCGATGGGTCCCCGGTATCGGATGATGCCCTGAACTTTCCGCCCAGAGGCAGATGTGATCTGGACCTTGACCCGGTCCCCTTTCCGGAGGGTGCTCAGCCGGCGCATCAACTGCTCTTGTTTGAGGAGAGCCAGGCGTTCATCTCCATTGGTCACCGCCTCCAGGAGACCTGACTGAGACCCACTCAGTTCCCAAGTGGCCCACGGAGGCACCCAGACCATCTTTTCTGTGTCCACAATCTTGGCACAAAATGTTCCATCTGGGGAGTTTCTTTGGGGGTCTTCTTGGCTCAAGAGGCTGCCTTTGGATACCTTCACTTCTCCACCTGCAGTCGTTTCTCCCATAAAGCCTTTCGTGGCAATGAAGAATCGGCGGGGCTTCATCACTATAAAAGAAGAAAAAACAGACTTATTTATTGTATTGTCGAAGGCTTTCATGGTCAGAATCACTGGGTTGTTGTAGGTTTTTCGGGCTATATGGCCATGTTCTAGAGGCATTCTCTCCTGACGTTTCGCCTGCATCTATGGCAAGCATCCTCAGAGATAGTGAGGTCTGTTGGAACTAGGAAACAGGTCATTCCACAGATATACAAATCCCCCTTTTCCTAGTTCCAACAGACCTCACTACCTCTGAGGATGCTTACCATAGATGCCGGTGAAATGTCAGGAGAGAATGCCTCTAGAACATGGCCATATAGCCTGAAAAAACCTACAACAACCCAGACTTATTTATTGTCAGCTCTCCGTATTTGTGGGTTTGACTTGTGAGCATTTGATTATTCACAGATATGATTAAAATGTTTTATTTAGGGATGTCTAGGTCCTCAGGTGCAACTCTCAAGGTCAACTTCATTCTGTACTTGTCATAAAGTCATGCTGAAAATTCTACACTCATCTTTTAGTGCAATTTGATCTAAAGGACTATGAGTACATAAAGGTAAAGGTAAAGCTTTCCCCTGACATTAAGTCTAGCCGTGTCAAATTCTGGGGGGGGGAGGGGTCATCTTCATTTCTAAGATGAAGAGCTTGCGTTGTCGGTAGACACCCCCAAGGTCATTTGGCCAGCATGGGTACATAGGCACTGTTAATTGAATGCAGTTTGACATCACTTTAACTGCATGACTTAATGCTGTGAAATCCTGGGAGTTGTACTTTGGCGAGGTGCCTGCATTCTTTGGCAGAGAAGGCTAAAGACAGTGAAAGACTACAAAACCCAGAATTTCACAGCATTGATCCAACATGGAGGGCTGGTCACATAATTAAGAAAACATGGAAATGTTGCTTTTTGGGGGACTGAAAAAAGTTGATATCTTGAGTGGAGAATTGTGGGAGTCAGAAAAGTTAATTTTCCCAAGTGGCGATAGTTAACTACAGACAGGTCCCAAGTTACAAACAGCCAATTTATTAATGACTCATAGTTAAGAACGGTGAGAAATTTACCTCTAGGAAGGGAGATTCACTCTGGAAAGTGTTATTATGGGCTAAGGGGGTCTCCACTGAAGCTTTATAGCCAATCCTTGTTTCTGCAACAAGCCCATTTTGTTCAAAATCCATGAATACAGACACACACACACACACACACTTTGGATAACATAGGGAAGGGTTAACATCCCTGTGCTGTTTGTTTTGCTGTCTGTAGGTGTGTGTGTGTGTGTATTGTGTGTGTGTGTGTGTATACACACACACACTCACATAGACATACATATATCCCCCCCCCCCCGGTGGCGCAGTAGATTAAACTGTTGAGCTGCTGAACTTGCTGACTGAAAGGTCGGCGGTTTGAATCCAAGGGATTGTGGCGCAGCTGGCTGAGTGTCAGCTGCATTAAGATCACTCTGACTAAAAGGTCATGAGTTCGAAGCCAGCTCGGGTTGGAGTGGGTTTCCAACCAATTATGTGTAGCCTGTTGTCGACCTTTGCAACCCAAAAGACAGTTGCATCTGTCAAGTAGGAAAATTAGGTGCCACCTTAGTGGGAAGGCTAAATTAACTAATTTATGAGGCCATAAAGAAGACTCCAGCAAAGCATTCCAGCAGGGAAGCCTGCGGGGAATGCGGAAGCACTTCATCAGCATTGCAGATGGACGATGAAAGCGACAGCTCCCCTGGTGGCCAGAAAAAGTTAAATAGCCTCTGTGTATGTCTGTATATGTTTGTATGTCAAAAATTGGCATTGAATGTTTGCCATATATGTGTACACTGTAATCCGCCCTGAGTCCCCTGCGGGGTGAGAAGGGCGGAATATAAAAGCTGTAAATAAATAAATAAATAAGTAAATAAACAAATTGGGATTCGTTCCTGCTTTTAGCCCCAGCTTCTGCCAACTTAGCACTTTGAAAAAATGCACATGTGAGTAGATCAATAGGTACTGCTTTGGCGGGAAGGTAACGGCACTCTATGCAATCATATCGGCCACAGGACCTTGGAGGTGTCTATGGACAATGCCAGCTCTTTGTCTTAGAAATGGAGATGAGCAACCACCCCCCAGAGTTAGACACGACTAGACTTAATGTCAAGAGGAAACCTTAACCTTTACCTTATCTATATATCTATACATATATACACACACATATGCTTTGGATAACACACGGAAAGGTTAGTAGTACCCTTGTGATGTTTGTTTTGCTGTCTGTAGGCATGTGTGCGTGTATGAGTTACACTTAAAAAATGTACCTGTTCCAACTTACAAACAAATTTAACTTAAGAACAAACTTACAGAACCTATCGTGTTCTTAGCCTGGGAACTGCTTGTACTGCCAAGTACCACACCATTAAACAATTAAAAATAAAAGCATTACAAAAAAAGGAACACTTAAAAAATTAAAAGGCCAAATTAAGAAGAGACCCTGTGATGTGTTTGCTAAAAGCAGCAAAACAATAAGTCATAATTCTGCTTTCCAGAATCTGGAAACAACACCCGGAAAATGTCCTGTCAAGGCTGCCAAACAAACAGACTTCTGCGAGTCACTGTGGGCCCTTCCAGACAAGCCCTATATCCCAGGATCTGACATCAGGCTTTCTGTTTATCCCAGATTATGTGGCAGCGTGGATTCATATAATCTAGTTTAAAGCAGAAAACCTGGGATCGGATCCTATGATATAGGGCCTGTCTGGAAGAGCCCTGAGTCCTTGAAATAAGTTTCTTCTACAGAACAAATTAATCATGAGCCAACAATGTCATGCGGCGGCTAAAAAAACAACCAATGGGATTTTGACCTGCATAAATAGGACTCTAGTGCCTAGATCCAAGGAAGTCATACACTCTACGTGGGGTTGCCTTTGGTTGCCTTTGAAGACTGCTCGGAAACTTCAACTAGTCCAGCGAGAAGCAGCCAGATTACTCACCGGAGCGGCGTACAGGGAGCATACCACCCCTCTGTTACGCCAGCTCCACTGGCTGCCGATCCAATTCCGAGCACAATTCAAAGTGCTGGTTTTGACCTACAAAACCCTATACGGTTCCGGCCCAGTGTATTTGTCCGAACGGATCTCCCTCTACATCCCATCTCGAAATTTAAGATCATCTGGGGAGGCCCTGCTCTCGACCCCGCCACTATCACAAGTGAGGTTGGCGGGGACGAGGAGCAGGGCCTTCTCAGTGGTGGCCCCTCACCTGTGGAACTCACTCCCCGGGGAGATTAGAACAGCGACTTCCCTTTTGGCATTCAGAAAAAAATTGAAGACCTGGATATGGGACCAAGCTTTTGGATATTCTGGCAGCTAAGGAAAGATCTGACGATAAACAAGGGCGAACGGAATGGAATGGATAAACGGACTCTGAACACTGAGCATGAGATTGTTTTGCTATTTTACTATGTATTAATGTTTTTAACTTGTTAATCGTTTAAATTGTTTTTATGTATTGTTTGTTTATTGATTTAGGCATAGACTTGTGCCTTCGTTTGTAAGCCGCCCTGAGTCCCCCCTCGGGGGTGAGAAGGGCGGGATAGAAGTAATTGAAATAAATAAATAAATAAATAAAATACTACCCCTCTACCCTGCCTTGATCAGACCACACTTGGAATCACACTGTGCCCAATTCAGGACACTGCAATTGAAGGGAGATGGTGACAAGCTGGAATGTGTCCAGAGGAGGGTGACTAAAATAATCAATGGTCTGGAGAACAAGCCATATGAGTAGTGGCTTAAAGACCTGGGCATGTTTAGCCTGCAGAAGGGAAGACTGAGAGGAGACATGATGAGGGCCATGTATAAATACATGAAGGGAAGTCATAGGGAGGAGGGAGCAAGCTTGTTTTCTGCTGCCCTGGAGACTAGGACATGGAACAATGGCTTCAAACTACAGGAAAGGAGATTCCACCTGAACATTAGGAAGAACTTCCTGACTGTGAGAGCTGTTCAGCAGTGGAACTCTCTGCCCCGAAGTGTGGTGGAGACTCCTTCTTTTAAACAGAGGCTGGTTGGCCCTCTGTCAGGGTTGGACTGGATGGTCCATGAGGTGTCTTCCAACTCTAGGATACTATGATTCTATATGAACAGTTAAAGTGGAGCTAAACTGCATTCATTCTACAATGTAGATGCACTGGAAGTACAATCACACAGCTGTGTTTGAGCAGTGTAGGCATTCCAGATTATTTTCCAGCACTTAGGTGGACCTGTGTTGGTTTGTGAGAAATGAGAAGCACTAATATGTATTTCTACTCCCGAATTATTAGAACTCTACAAAGAAATGCGAAGGGAGCAGGAGCAAAGAAATAGCTTCCCAAGGAGTGATAAACCCTCTCAATTTCTTCTTCTTCTCTATTACTTCTTTTAGGCTTTTGATTGACATTTTATCTGAGCGCTTTGCTTTGCTATTGATACAATTGTGTACTTTCCTCCTTCTGTCCTTCTTGTGGGCGACTAAAATAATCAATGGTCTTGAGAACAAGCCCTATGAGGAATGGCTTAAAGACCTGTTTAGCCTGCAGAAGGGAAGGCTGAGAGGAGACATGATGAGGGCCATGTATAAATACGTGAAGGTACAATTGTGTACTTTCCTTCTTCTGTCCTTCTTGTGGGAGTTGAAGTCCAAAACACCCAGAGGGCCCAAGTTTGTCCATGCCTGACCTACATTGTAGTTTGGCACCACTTTAATTGCCATGGCTCAATGACAGGGAATCTTGGGATTTGTAGTTAGGTAGGACACCAGCACCCAGTCCTTGTTATGTTTATATACATATATATTTACATACATATATATTATTCTGCCAACTTAGCAGTTCAAAAACATGCAAATGTGAGTAGATCAATAGGTACTGCTCCAGCGGGAAGGTAACGGCGCTTCATGCAGTCATGCCGGCCACATGACCTTGGAGGTGTCTACGGACAACATCAGCTCTTTGGCTTAGAAATGGAGATGAGCACCACTCATGTCAGGAGAAAACCTTTACCTTTACCTATATTTAGATTGTACACCTCTAACACTTTTGATGGAGCCCTCGGTGGCGCAGTGGGTTAAACCCCTGTGCCGGCAGGACTGAAGACCGACAGGTCACAGGTTCAAATCCGGGGAGAGGCGGAGGAGCTCCCCCTATCAGCTCCAGCTCCTCATGCGGGGACATGAGAGAAGCCTCCCACAAGGATAAAAACATCAAATCATCCAGGTGTCCCCTGGGCAATATCCTTGCAGACGGCCAATTCTCCCACACTAGTAGCGACTTGCAGTTTCTCAAGTCACTCCTGACACGACAAAAACACTTTTGATTGTTTATTTCTAAAGCGACACATATCTTGGATGTTACTATACAAAGAAACTACAACAGAAACAACACCCAGAACATTTCCCTTGCAGGTCTGTCAACATAGTATCAATATCATAGTATCCACAACTATGTAGCAGAGTGTAGGAAATAGATAGCTTCCTCCCTACTAGAGTTCCTTCCACACAGTCCTATGTCCCAGAATATCAAGGCAGAAAATCCCACAATATCTGTGGACTAAGATAACCCAGTTCAAAACTGTGGGATTTTCTGCCTTGATATTCTGGGATATAGGGCTGTGTGGAAGGGCCCTAAATGTGTTGGACTACAACTCCCAGTCTAGCCATGTGGCCAAGGGTGATGTGGTTCGTAGTCCAACACATCTGGAAAAGCAAAGAAACAAAATAAATATCAGTCTCCCAATGAAAAAAAAGCAGATATGGTTCTTGTGGGTTTTTTCGGGCTATAGGGCCATGTTCTAGAGGCATTTCTCCTGATGTTTCGCCTGCATCTATGGCAAGCATCCTCAGAGGTCTGAGGATGCTTGCCATAGATGCAGGCGAAACGTCAGGAGAAATGCCTCTAGAACATGGCCCTATAGCCTGAAAAAAACCACAAGAACCTAGTGATTCCAGCCATGAAAGCCTTCAACAATACAAAAGCAGATATATTGCATTTCTCTTCTCCAGAGGACAAAAGAGACCTCATTGGTGCAATGAAGCTGCCTCTTCCTTTTTACAACTTACCTGGCAAAGTTGGCTCAACTTTTTTTGGGGCAGCAAATACAAGTTGTTTCCCCTCCAGGACAAGACTTGCTTGACTCGAGGAAGTGGCTCATGTGTTTTGCAGAAGCGGAAGGCGAAGAGAAGCCACGCCAGGAAAGAAAGAGAGAGCCAATCAAGGCGAAGAGGTGGGGAGGGAGAAAGAAAGAAAGAAAGAAAGAAAGAAAGGGAAAGGGAAAGGGAAAGGGAAAGGGAAAGGCCAAGGCCAAGGTGATGGCCAAAGCAAAGCAAAGCAAAGCAAAGCATCTACATTAGGCATGGTCAAACTTGGGCCCTCCAGGTGTTTTGGACTTCAACTCCCACAATTCCTAACAGCCTACCAGCTGTTAGGAATTGTGGGAGTTGAAGTCCAAAACACCTGGGGGGCCCAAGTTTGTCCATACCTGATTTACACTATAGTTTGGCACCACTTTAATTGCCAATGCTAGGGAACCTTGGGATTGGTAATTAGGCAAGACACCAGCATCTTGGGAAGGAGAAAGACCTTGCAGAACTACAATTCCCATTAACCCATAGAAAGTATTCAGCCATGGCAATTAAAAGAGTGTCAAACTAATGTGGCTCAATGCTGTGGAAACATGAGGGTTGCAGTTTGGTGAGCCACCAACACTATTTGGGAGACCTTGTTAAACTACAATTCCCATTGTATTGAGCCATGGCAGTCAAAGTGGTGTCAGACTGCATTCATTGTGGGAATCACTGCCCTCCAGCATTGCATTGTTATATTAATTACCACTGTGGCTCTAATGGTGGAAACCTGGGGTTTGTAGTTTGCTGAGAAACTAGCAATCTGTGGCTGAAATATTCGATGCCCTTCCCTAAACTGCAAATCCCATCCTTCTATATGATATGATCATAGCAGTTGAAAAGTAATCATGATGCTACAAGGTGACTAAGATCTCTTCTACACTGTTGTCTAATCCAGATTATCAAAGCAGATAATCCACATTATCTGCTTTGAACTGGATTATATGAGTCTACACTGCCATATAATCCAATTCAAAGCAGATAATCTGGGTTTTATATGGCAGTGTAGAAGAGGTCTAAGGGTGCATTTAACCTGTTGGAATTGGCAGTTTGACACCACTTGAACTGCCATGGCAAAGTGCTATGGAATTCTGGGAGTTGTAGTTTTGCCAGGTCTTTAGGCTCCTTTGACAGAGTGCTTGGCATGCAAGAGTGCAGAGTGCATGGCGATGGCAATGCAAGTGGTGTCAAACTGCATTAATTCAACAATTTGAGAGAGAGGAAAAAAAGACAGAATTTTCATGCGTCACTTTCCAAATATATGTCATGCCCCCTGTACTATGTAATATATTTATTTTGGGCAGTCTGGTGAATTCCAACAACAGCAAGTTGCCCCTGCGCCCACAGAAGTCACCCACGCAGAAGGTGTGGCTTAGATATACAGAAATAGCAAGGAAAGTCACTTCTTGTAGGAGGGGAATCCCTAAGGGGTGGAAACAATCCCTAAAGTGGGCCAGTGACGATGGCGCATGCTTAGTGATAGTGAAATAATGTCTCAGTGTGTGCAGAAATGCACCATAGGGCAGATGAAAGCATTAAGAATGATATGAATGAATGTATTGTCGCAGGCTTTCATTGCTCCCTCCTCCCTGTGACTTCCTCTCACATATTTATACATGGCTATCATATCTCCTCTCAGCCTTTTCTTCTTCGGGCTAAACATGCCCAGCTCCTTAAGCCACTCCTCATAGGGCTTGTTCTCCAGACCCTTGATCATTTTAGTCACCCTCCTCTGGACACATTCCAGCTTGTCAATATCTCTCTTCAATTGTGGTGCCCAGAATTGGAAACAATATTCCAGGTGTGGTCTAACCAAAGCAGAATAGAGGGGTAGCATTACTTCCCTAGATCTAGACACTATGCTCCTATTGATGCTAGGCCAAAATCCCATTGGCTTTTTTTGCTGCCACATCACATTGTTGGCTCATGTTTAACTTGTTGTCCACGAGGACTCCAAGATCTTTTTCACACGTACTGCTCTCGAGCCAGGCATCCCCCATTCTGTATCTTTGCATTTCTTTTTTCCTGCCAAAGTGGAGTATCTTGCATTTGTTACTGTTGAACATCATTTTGTTAGTTTTGGCCCATCTCTCTAATTTGTCAAGATCGTTTTGAATCCTGCTCTTGTCCTCTGGAGTATTGCTTGGCTATCCCTCCCAATTTGGTGTCGTCTGCAAACTTGATGATCCTGCCTTCTAATCCTTCATCTAAGTCATTAATAAAGATGTTGAACAGGACCGGGCCCAGGACGGAACCCTGCGGCACTCCGCTCGTCACTTCTTTCCAGGATGAAGAGGAAGCATTGGTGAGCACCCTCTGGGTTCATCCATTTAACCAATTACAGATCCACCTCACCGTAGTTTTGCCTAGCCCACATTGGACTAGTTTCCTTGCCAGAAGGTCATGGGGGACCTTGTCAAAGGCCTTCCTGAAATCCAGGTACGCTACATCCACGGCATTCCCCGCATCTACCCAGCTTGTAACTCTATCGAAAAAAGAGATCAGATTAGTCTGGCATGACTTGTTTTTGATAAATCCATGTTGACTATTAGCGATGACCACATTTGTTTCTAAGTGTTTGCAGACCACTTCCTTAACAATCTTTTCCAGAATGTTGCCTGGTATCGACGTGAGGCTGACCAGAAAGAACTCTTGTCTGGTTGAGGTAGGTGTGAATGTTGCAATTGTCCACCTTGATTAGCATTAAATGGCCTAGCAGTTTCAAGGTCTGGCTTCTTATTGCTTGGGGGAATCCTTCCTTGGGCCCTGATTGTTTCTTTGTGAATGAATGGTTATGTGCCACTCTTTTCACTAGATGGCAGCAAGGAATAGGGAATTGGGCAAGGCAGGGAATTTTTCCATGCTTCCTTTATGACAGCATCAGTGCGAGAAACCTGTGTCACTTCTAGACATAGTTGGAGTCCAACTCCCATCGGCTTTTTGGCACGGGCAGGTATGATGATGGGAAATGTAGTCCAATATCTGGTAAAATTTATTTATTTATTGAGAGTACATTACAATGTTTTTATAAAAACAAACACAAACAAAGTTAAAAACTTGGTATTATACTAAATGTGACCAGAAGCTGGCCACTTGGAGTGCCTCTGGTGTTGCTATAAGAAGGTCCTCCATTGCGCATGTGGTAGGGCATGGACTGCATTGTAGTAAGTTGTCTGTGGTTTGCTCTTCTCCACCCTCGCATGTCGTGGACTCCACTTTGTAGCCCCATTTCTTAAGGTTGGCTCTGCATCTCGTGGTGCCAGAGCGCAGTCTGTTCAGTGCCTTCCAAGTCGCTCAACTTTTGTGTGCCCAGGAGGGAGTCTCTCATTCAGTATCAGCCTCTGATTGGGCTTCTGGGTTTTAACCTGCCACTTTTGGACTCTTGCTTGCCAAGGTGTTCCTGCGAGTATGTAGATCTTAGAAAGCTGTTTCTTGATTTAAGGCATTGGCATGTTGGCTGATATCCGAACAGAGGATGGGCCAGAGATGTCACTGCCTTGGTCCTTTCATTATTGGCTGCTACTTCCCGATGGATGTCAGGTGGTGCAATACTGGCTAAACAGGATAAGTTCTCCAGTGGTGAAGAGCAGTGGTTCTCAACCTGTGGGTCCCCAGATGTTTTGGCCTTCAACTCCCAGAAATCCTAACAGCTGGTAAACTGGCCGGGATTTCTGGGAGTTGTAGGCCAATACACCTGGGGACCCACAGGTTGTGAAACACTGGTGTAGAGCATAAACATCCTGTAGTGATACAGCATGTCTCATTAAGAGCCCCATCCACTGTTTTAGCGTTGTGAGATGTGTTCCACACTGGGCATGCATACTTAGCAGCAGAGTAGCAAAGCGCAAGAGCAGATGTCTTCACTGTGTCTGGTTGTGATCCCCAGGTTGTACCAGTCAGCTTTTGTATGATATTGTTTCTAGAGCCCACTTTTTGCTTGATATTCAAGCAGTGCTTCTTGTAGTCAGTCCAGAGTAACTCCCAGGTATTTTGATGTGTTCCAGTGGGATTCCTTCCTAGGTGATCCTCAGAGCTCAAGATGCTTGTCTGTTCTTAAGATGGAAAGCACTCGTCTGTTTTCTAGACTGATTAGGAATCAGCTGGTTTTCTTGTATCAGACAGTAAGAACACCTAAAGCCTCGGAGAGCTTCTGTTCAACCATTTCAAAGCTGCCTGCTTGAGCGGTGATGATGCGATAGTCTGCATAGATGAAACTCTCTATGGCAGATCTAATATCCCTAGGGAGGGTGTTCCATAGCAGAGGGGCCACCGCTGAGAAGGCCCTGTCTCTTGTTGCATCTGCGAAGGGGGCGGGACCGAGAGCAGGGCCTCACCAGACGATCGTAAGTGCCTAGATGGTTCATAGGGAGAGATGCGTTCGGACAGGTAAACTGGGACGGAACCGTTTAGGCCTTTAAAGGCTAAAGTCAGCACTTTCAGTTGTCCCCATTAGCAAACTGGCAACTAGTGGAGCTGGCGCAACAGAGGAGTTGTGTGCTCCCTGGCTGCTGCCCGTTGGACCATTTGAAGCTCCTGAACAGTCTTCGAAGGCTGTTGATGTGAAACCTTCTTGTTCAGGGGCAGTGTATCGGTGGATAGCAATTGCTGCAAGGACTAAAGTACGGTTAAAACTTGGTATGCTTTGTTTGCTCCCTTCTTGGAAATTGCTGTCTACTCTTAGAAAGTGGGTACTAGGCTGGAAACCACATAATGTCTCCTCCCCATCTCTATGCATGAACATACAGAAGTTGGGTTGGATTGAGTTAAAGGGATAGTCTGCAGTTAATTATCTCTGCCCGAATATAAACAATACAGCTATAGAAGGACTAGGCGGTCTATTTCAGACTTCATACCTTTGGGAGAAGACTTTCCATGTTAACTCATTCTATGCATTGCAAAATATGTGAACAATTTAAACAGATGCATTTTGACCGTCACTCCCAGGAAACTGCCCTTCTGTTGTAAAACACAAAGCCTAAGAGTATTCCAGGGGATTTTTTGTCATGTCAGGAGCAACCTGAGAAACTGCAAGTTGCT